AGACGACCTCGGGTATCCCCGATCCGAAAATAGTGCCGTCAATTATTTTAGCCAGCCAATCAAAACGCGATGACACAACTCTCCATTCTCAGCCAGCCAATCAGATTGGGTGAAAAAAAATAAACCACTGCGAATAAACCACTGCTGGCGATTGAAGATCAAGCCCTGTTATTGGAGAAATGAAGTTCAAGGATAAAGATATTTTAAAACCGAGGTCATCAAAAGGCTTATCTACCTGATGTTTAATGCATTGGTCAGTGTGATAAAACATGGAAGATAACAGTCGGTGGGATGACCCCTGAACTTTTTAACATGTACAGCAGTAGGTTTGGCCTTTGTTACTGTCAGGGTGGTCGGGTAGCCTAGTGGTTAAAGCGTTCGCTCGTCACGCCGAAGACCCGGGTTCGATTCGCGACATGGGTACAATGTGTGAAGCCCATTTCTGGTGACCCCCGTCGTGATATTGCTGGAATATTGCTAAAAGTGGCGTAAAACCATACTCACTCACTGTAACTGTTACTGTCACTTCGCTGCCTATATATTTAGTTGAGATCGCATTGTTGGACAACCGTGAAGAAGGCTGTTTACGCTAAGTGATAGATCGACACATCTGTTATACGGACAAGTTTTACTGTTATACTTAGGGGCGGTCGAGTAGCCTAGTGGTTAAAGCGTTCGCTCGTCACGCCGAAGACCTGGGTTCCATTCCCGACATGGGTACAATGTGTGAAGCCCATTTCTGGTGTCCCCCGCCGTGATATTGCTGGAATATTGCTAAAAGCGGCGTAAAACCAAACTCACTCACTCACACTACTGTTGTACTTAGGAGTTGGCGAAATATGATCATTGGCGAAGCAAACTGAAAATTAGATTTCTCAACTCATTTACTGCCCAAATATTACGATGGGGGATGGGTAGGGAAGGTGGTCCGTGTTGACGTGACCATATCCCAATCACGACGTCGACAGGACAGGGAAGTGATAGTTCAAGATGAGTTTTATTCCTGTAGCTTCACATGTCCGACCGTGGCCATGTTCCTCTCGCCGGGGGGCGGTCGGGTAGCCTAGTGGTTAAAGCGTTCGCTCGTCATGCCGAAGACCCGGGTTCGATTCCCGACATGGGTACAATGTGTGAAGCCCATTTCTGGTGACCCCCGTCGTGATATTGCTGGAATATTGCTAAAAGCGGCGTAAAACCATACTCACTCACTCACTCCTCTCGCCGGATGTTCATCTCTGGATGATCTGAATGCGACAAACAGTATCGAGGATCCAGCTTCGCGTACTTTATGTCTAAAAATTGACAGGTTCTCACGGAGGTCGGCTATCATTTGCGCACAAACTCGATCATCGGAGTGATGTTTTCCTCGAATATTTAGCGATAAGTGCTCACCTAATTATTTCTTTTTCATTTTAAACAGTACCAGGGAAAACAAACTTTTCATTTAGAAATACCAATATGAGTATAAAGTTGAAAAGGTCACCTTCAATTTTGCTAGTGACAACTGTCAAAAATAAAATAAGTTTTAATCAAACTGAACAATTCTTGATCGGAACGAGGCTCTTAGCATTCCGTGCACATATTATATTGAACTAAAAAAGTCCGATTTGTAGAAGAACTTAACTGAACTTTATTTCTATATTTTTGTCTGCAATAACTAAGTTAATAGATACGTCAAGCGTGATCGTGTATCAAACCCGAACATTTTATTGGGCATTATCGAACGTTACAACCACAATCCTAATAACATGCATCGCACGAGTAACGTGTCGTATGCGTGAATGTTAGGGTGACGGCAATTGTTAGGTAACATGAGAAAACGCCGTAAACACATTCTTTTTTTCCACGATTACCTTTAAAACAAATGCCAGGAATCCTCAATAATGTCCGTGACAGAGCCATCGGAATCAGATGTTGAAGTACAAATTGGTGCGACCGTGAGGTCAGTGCAACATCTGAGGGAGCGTTACGTTGCAACTGGAGTAACAACTGATCGTCCGAGAAATGGACGCCCAAGTGTAACAATACCAGGTCAAGACCGCTATATTGTGACGTCAAATTTACGCAATTGTTTTCTCCCAGCAACTGATCCCACTCAAGGAACTCAACAACAGACGCCGTGATATTTCTGGAATATTGCTAAAAGCGGCGTGAAACCATACTCACTCACTCACCATAACAGAATCAGCGCTCAAATTGTTCGCATGGTATCAGAGTCACGACGCCATACGTTGGGCCAGTACTTAGCATCGATCCACACAATTGGGATCGATGACATGCATCAACCAAGTCAGCGAGCCTGACCACCCGATCCCGTTAGTCGCCTTTTACGGCAAGCATGGGTTGCTGAAGACCTATTCTACCCCGGAATCTTCACGGGTCGGAGACAATATTGGATGAATTAAATTGGATGCGAAATGGTCATGAAATCATATCTGGCTGTGACTAAATATTAACAGAGCTGTTTCACCTTCGTCTGATATTATTTGAGATTGTGTTAATTTTTCCAACATTAATATCATTGTAAATGTTGGAACAAATAAATATATCCTGGCATATTAATAGCGATATGTGAATATTTTTTTATATTAAAATATTAAAGAATGAAAGAATCTGATCAGATCGCCCAAAGATTTAATGCTTTTATCACTTACTTGTACGCTAATTCATAATTCATATTCAACATTTATGCTTTAAAAATGGGAATAGTTTTACTGAACCCTGTTTATTATATGGCAATATTGAATTTTTATTAATAGATTTTTTCACCTCAGGTTTTCGTTACTCTGCCAACAAGGCGGTGTATTATTTTATGTTAATGTTAATTAATGTTTTGTAATTAATTGTTTTTATACAAATGATTCACTATTTTGTTTTGAGCTACAGAAAAGTAAAGTTACTGCTGCAGAATATTTTAAGTTGATTTTCTTTGGCTAGTCACTTTGCCAATACTGACACCAGTTGCATGAAACTGTCAGTAAGTTGGCTGTATCTATCTTTTGTTTTACCCATTAAGGATGTGAAATGTTCTGCAATGCCATTGTAATTACAGTTTTTTCTGTAAATAACTCGCCTTTCATTTGTCGCCGGTATAACTTTTCTTTCGGTCTTTCTTTCAGTCTATAATCCAGGTGCTGATACGAAATGAGAAAATCAATAATTCTGGATTCTGATTTCGAATAAATAACTGCAACTTGATAAATATTCCATATCCAACCAACCACCCACCCACTCAAATCCATCTATCCATCCATCATGTCTGGCAGCAACTTGTTCATGTTCGAACACTTGAAATGGCTAACTGAGGCGCTTTAAGGTCTCGTCAACACGTGTGACCCTTTTCAACAGACATTCTCGCACTTGACTTACACTATTATTAACATGCATTTGTTAAAGTTCATGAATTAAACGTCTCTTACAATTTGCGTGTTGCTCTTGTCGGAGGGCAAGTGATGCACAAATATACTAAATTTGAATGGTAACTATTTTTCACAATCCGATGTGTCGTGAAAAGGTCGCCTGGTTACTGTTGCGTAGGGATACATTTGTGTTGAGTTACAGCCGGGATAAATTTCGAGGTTGTTAGTGATAAGATCAATAAATTATGACAGTTATTTCTGCAGGAACGAAATTCTCCCGTTTTTTTCTGCAGAAAAAAGAATTAGGAGATGGAATTAAAAAACAGTTACTAGAAGTTGTAAGTTAAAAAATAACAATGAAGTTGTACGAGGTTAGCTTGGAAAATAACCTCTAGCAATTCACTATTTATCTTGCTTGATAAAGGTGTTAGGATCTACACCGAAGCGTCGCACTAATTGTAATAAAGAAGTTGTTCATCCATAGAACTCGTCTTACTTCATCACACCAACTTCTAAATGCCACTGAAAGAAGTTATTTGAAGAGGTGTTTGTCATGTTGCTTAAAACTAATACATATGACAGAAGATAGATACCCGCGAATATGTTACAGTATGCTCATCAAACTTGATAATGTGGCAGAAGGACATGGATAGGCAATGTAAGGCAGTTTTTATTCTTATAGGATTTGGATATGCCCTGATTACTCAATCTGTAGGATGTGCATATATATTTCTACAAAACCTCACTCAACGTTTTGAAGAAGTTCATCTTCAGAAGTGGAACTCAGATTTACAATAAAACATTAAACTAGAAATATACCAAAAACTTAAATCTATGTAACAACCGGAAAAAAAATCTGGTTTACAGAAAAAGTCTTCATTTGAAGAGAGCTCTTACGGAAACCGTAATTCAAATATCGAAAAAGGTAGATGGGACGAATGACTGCAAATTTTGCTCTTATACATTCAACATTAGCACTGTAGAAAATGAACAACATTGTTTTTGTTTACTTGTCCATTTTGCATAGTCGGCTCTTACGATAAGCATGGGTTGCGGAAGACCTATATATTCAAACCCTGATCTTCACGGATCCCGCGCTTGTTGATTAGACGCATTGGGGTATAAAAAATAAACACAAAACATTTCATAAGGAATGAATATTTACTTTTTTTATTGATACATCATATCACACTTACATGTTCAATACACAACATGGTACACATGCAGCAACTGCTGATCATGAAATAATGTCGACATGGTTTTTTCCTACCTTTATTTTTTTATTGGAAATACCTGGAAAAACACGAAATACCTGTGATGAAAGAACCCACTGTTATTTCAACCCAACGCGAATATCGTCTTATTTGACGTCACGCAAATTTCTATAAAAAAAATGGAAAATACTTGATTGTGTTCCGGGGGCTCTAAAGTGTGATTATATGACTACTCTCATGACATATTGGTTAAAGGGGGCACGGGTGGCCCAGTCGTCTAAGGCGCTGCGATTCGCTGTGCAGAGTTGCGTCCCTTGGGCACGCCAGAAACCTATGATTGTGGGTTCGAATCTCGGTTCGCCCCGATTATGTTTCTAGGTTTGTCAGCACCATACCCGTGCTCGTGGGTTTCACCGAAGTGGTAAACGTCTGAGACCTGCATCACTTCGGGCTTTCCTCCCACATTAAGCTGACACGCCGCGATATAACTGGAATACTGTTAAAAGCGGCGTTAAACCCAACTCGCTCACTCACATATTGGTTAAAACCATTTTTCTAGTTGGATAAAGGTGAATGTAAAAAAAAAAGAGTCTGGATGATACAGTCAAGTCATTGACACTGTGAACAGATAACAGCCATCGCGTTGCGATGACACCCTATCAATTAAGTCACCGAACCTGACTACTGGATTCATTTGGTCGCCTCTAATAACTAGCATAGGGTGCTGGGATCTATTCTAACCGGAATCCACACGGGATATTGATAAGATCATACTGCAAGAAGGCGAATGGACTGACGTTATGTTTCTTCTATTATAGGAGACTTAGACCAGTCGTAGAGGTGACCAGGATCCGCAAGTCATGGATCATCCTGATTGTGTCATAAACATACCCGTACTCATGGGAGGTCAACGTCTAAGGGGGCGGTCGGATAGCCCAGTGGTTAAAGCGTTCGCTCGTCACGCCGAAGACCCGGGTTCGACTCCCGATGTTAGCAGCTGGAATATTGCTAAAAGCGGCGTAAAACCAAACTAACTCACTCACTCACGTCTAAGACCCGCATCACTTAGGACTTTTTTCCCACATCATTTGTTTCCTGTTTGTTGTTTAACGCCGCACTCAGCAATAGTTTAGCTTACACGACGGCGGTCTATAAAAAATCGAGTCTGGACCAGACACTCCCCGGATTGACATCATGAGCATCGATCCACGCATTTGTGATACGACATGCACCCAACCAAGTCAACGAGCCTGACGACCTGATCCCGTTATTCGCCTCTTACGAAGTGATAAGGATGTAATGACAACGGTGCGTGAGCTTTGTTGTCGGATATTGCTGTAATAAAGCGTGACTGTATGTGATGTGCAAGATATGTCACAGTGCCATGATAACACTCTGTATCACTCAACAAGCACGGTTACATCAGCTGCATCCACCAGCTGAAAGATCCAGTAATGTTCTTCTAACCGTCAGACTCCAAAAGGACACAAGCACACTTATTGATGGCGCCTGCGCGGACATACTTATATAAACCAGCACGATCCATTACATGGGTATACTATAATATTTGAGCGCAAATTTTCATGTATATAAACTGCCGTGAAAAAGAAAGAAAACACATGCACATTTCACTCTGCTCGTGACAATAACTGGAAACTGTGAAACTGTGAAACTGCGCTCCCGACCAGTGGTCCCTGAGACGGCATATGCACATCACCTGGTGATATCCATTGATGTGATAGATCTACTATCACCCATGATACCCGCATCAAATACATCACCATCGAGTAACCACTTCTTGGTTGTCTCTTCAAGCGTCTCTTCCCATCAAGCGTGGGATCCCAGAATTCTTTCTTTTGTCCGGCAGTTTTAAAAGTTTACAGGCATACACTTGCGAGGGGCCTCTTTATACAGTTTAATGAGCACCCGCCATCAGATTAAACCGGCATCTTTAGCCATTCCATGGAATGCAGACTTCTCATCCTTCAGAAGCTCCTCGGGTGAGCCAGTCTCCTGTATCTGCCCCAAAGCCATCACCAGGATCCTGTAAGAATATTTTGTTCAGTTCATGATTAATGTTTGATCTGTAACCGCTCAACAGGAATGTGTATGAAAAGTTCACCCTTGTTCAAGCATGGTTTTTTCTTTCTAATTGTCGAATTGATTAGGGGTGTAATGATTCCCTAAACATAGGGAACCACGACTGTCCGCCATGACACGGGACACAGATCGTGAGGTCAGTTATTGAGACAATGTGATACACGTGTCGTGACACGTTAACTTGAAGGAAAATAATTTAAAATACTAATTTTAGCTGCAAGAAGTCACAAGAAACAATTCATTCCCGTTGATGTTCGAATGTGTCTGCTAGCATGGGAAACAAAGGAAGATTGGTGTTCAGTAACCTTGGTATAAACCAATTTCTTTCAACAGTTTTAAACATTACTAATTTTTTCAAGAATTGTCGGGGACAGTTTGATTTTTTGGATTCAGTCCTTCCCCCACCAGCCCCCAGCCCCCAGCCCCAGAATATCAAATGGTTTGTCCCTAATGGGATCGGGTGGCCAGACTCGCTGAATTGGTCGATGCATGTCATCGTATCCCAATTGTGTAGACCGGTGCGCATGATGTCAATCACGGGATATTCTGATCCACATTCGATTTTTTTACAGATCGCCGTCATATAGCTGGGATATTTGTGAATGCGGCGTTAAACAAAAACGAAAAATGGCGAAAAATATCATTAATTCAAACTTACTTGTCATAATCCATGACCGTGTTTAGCCTGTGAGCAATTGTGATGATGGTACAATCGTCGAACGCTTCCCTGATTGTTTTCTGAATCAAGGAGTCTGTTTCCATGTCAACAGCTGCCGTTGCCTCATCAAGCACGAGGACCTTTGTGTGACGCAATAGTGCACGTGCAAGACACACCAGCTGTCTTTGTCCAACGCTGAAAGAACATAAGTTTTATTCAGTTATCTTATGTACCTTTAGCTTACTTTTCAAATATTTTAAAATTTTAAAGGTAAAAAGAAACGAGCGATGTCGAATCAGTATCGTTCGAGTCCCTTCATTGTTAAAACTCCTCACATCAGCCCTCCGAGTTTACCTAAAGACAAACACTCTACAGTAGTGTATGGTTTTACTGTAGACCTAAAACCATACACTCTACAGATTACGGGGTAGAATAGGTCTTCAACAACCCATGCTTGTCGTAAAAGGCGACTAACGGAATCGGGTGGTCAGGCTCGCTGACTTGGTTGATGCATGTCATCGATCCCAAATGCGTGGATTGATGCTCATGATATCAATCACTGGATTGTCTGGTCCAGACTCGGTTATTTACAGACCGTCGTCATATAGCTGGAATATTGCTGAGTGCGGCGTAAAACAACAAACCAACTCTACAGTAGGTATGCACTCGTCTTTCCATTTAGATACAGCCCGTGAACATCCGGAATATACCAATCATCAGGTATCCGTTCTCCTTTATGACTGAATCTATAAAAGGCAGTATCAGAATGGTCAGACTTCGCAAGCGTTAAGACACAAGTGGTTCCGCCGATCTTGTGTATATTCGTTTTTGTATAGATGGGTTTTGAGTTGTCCATAATGAGCCACTTGTCCTTAACCAGTCACTTGTCCACCAGCGTATACAAAACGACTAATGCCAACACATTGTCAATAAAAATATCTACACACTTTTACATTAGTTGATTGTGTGTACGTTTCAAGAAACACTATCTACCCACTCGTACATCAAGTGATCGTGTGTATATTAAAGGGACACTGTCTACACACTCGTGCATCATTTAATCGTGTTTACGTAAAAATTGACACTGTCCACATATTCACACATCACATCGTGTGTATATTAAAGCGACACTGTCTTCACATTCGTACATCACATCGTGTGTTTTGTTAAAGGGACACTGTCTACACATTCGTACAACACATCGTGTGTTTTATTAAAGGGACACTGCCTACACATTCGTACAACACATCGTGTGTTTTGTTAAAGGGACACTGCCTACACATTCGTACAACACATCGTGTGTTTTGTTAAAGGGGCACTGTCTACACATTCGTACAACACATCGTGTGTTTTATTAAAGGGACACTGCCTACACATTCGTACAACACATCGTGTGTTTTGTTAAAGGGGTACTGTCCACACATTCGTACAACACATCGTGTGTTTTGTTAAAGGGACACTGTCTACACATTCGTACAACACATCGTGTGTTTTATTAAAGGGACACTGCCTACACATTCGTACAACACATCGTGTGTTTTGTTAAAGGGGTACTGTCCACACATTCGTACAACACATCGTGTGTTTTGTTAAAGGGACACTGTCTACACATTCGTACAACACATCGTGTGTTTTGTTAAAGGGACACTGTCTACACATTCGTACAACACATCGTGTGTTTTGTTAAAGGGACACTGCCTACACATTCGTACAACACATCGTGTGTTTTATTAAAGGGACACTGTCTACACATTCGTACAACACATCGTGTGTTTTATTAAAGGGACACTGCCTACACATTCGTACAACACATCGTGTGTTTTGTTAAAGGGATACTGCCTACACATTCGTACAACACATCGTGTGTTTTGTTAAAGGGACACTGCCTACACATTCGTACAACACATCGTGTGTTTTGTTAAAGGGACACTGTCTACACATTCGTACAACACATCGTGTGTTTTATTAAAGGGACACTGCCTACACATTCGTACAACACATCGTGTGTTTTGTTAAAGGGACACTGTCCACACATTCGTACAACACATCGTGTGTTTTGTTAAAGGGACACTGCCTACACATTCGTACAACACATCGTGTGTTTTGTTAAAGGGACACTGTCTACACATTCGTACAACACATCGTGTGTTTTATTAAAGGGACACTGTCTACACATTCGTACAACACATCGTGTGTTTTATTAAAGCGACACTGTCTACACATTCGTACAACACATCGTGTGTTTTATTAAAGGGACACTGTCTACACATTCGTACATCACATCGTGGTTTTTATGAAAGGGGACTGTCTACACACTCATACATCACATCGTGTTTTTTATTGAAGAGGACTGTCTACACATTCGTACATCACGTCGTGTGTTTGTTAAAGGGAGAGTGTCTACACACTCATACATCACATCTTGTGTTTTATCAAAGGGACACTGTATACACACTCGTACATCATGTCGTGTGTAATATTAAAGGGGCACTGTCTACATACTCGTACATCATGTCGTGTGTAATATTAAAGGGACACTGTCTACATACTCGTACATCATGTCGTGTGTATATTAAAGGGACACTGTCTACATACTCGTACATCATGTCGTGTGTAATATTAAAGGGACACTGTCTGCACATTCGTACATTCACATCGTATGTTTGTTAAAGGGAGAGTGTCTACACACTCATACATCACATCGTGTGTATATTAAAGGGAAACTGTCTGCACATTTGTACAACACATCGTGTGTATATTAAAGGGACACTGTCTACACACTCATACATCATGTCGTGTGTTTTATTAAAGGGACACTGTCTACACACCTGAGATTCTCTCCTCCTTCTCCACACTCGTACAGCATCTGTCCGGGGACGTCCACCACGAACTTCTTGAGGTGAGCCCTGTCTAGAGCCCGCCATATGTCGTCGTCACTGAACTCGTTGAATGGGTCCAGATTCATCCTCATGGTGCCAGAAAACAGCACAGGATCCTGGGAAGGAAAACAAATTACGGAAAAGAAATTTGAATATTTCAAAGTGGTAAACATGAAAGACTGCATTGCTTTTAACATGATATATCACTATTCAAATAGGAAAACCAAATTCAAGCCACACGTAAAACAAAGAACATGAACACTTTTTTTAATTACTCGTTTGTTGGGATGTATATGCCTAATACACGGCCGGCTAATTATAAAAGAAAGAAAACACTTAAAAATTGGATTTGACCAAAGAAGTACAAACCGTTACTGGTCTGAAAACAGCCACCGAAACAGTGCAAACTTAACACCCAAAACACATCTATGGTACCCGTTTCAAGACAGCTTCAAACAATGGTGTATACTTTCGTTTTCTCATCAGTTTAACTATCAATAGTTATTCTTCTCAGCTGTGGTAGGATTATCAGTCGTGATGGCACGTCATTCAGACAAGCGGGATCCGCCAGAATATATCTACCTTTACAGTGAATCCTCCCATCTGTTGTATTGTCAGTCTTGACCTGACATCATTCATACAGAACTTATTCATCAACATCAGCATCGTGATATGTAGTTAATACCCTTACGTGGGATAGGATGTCGGTATCTGACCGGCATCACTCAGTGTAGGAACATCCGCAACTATTTATCTGTGAGGTGAGGTGAAATTGGGTTTAACGTCGCGTCCAAGATTATTGCACTTATATAGCGACGTGGATGCACCTGTGTTTGTGTGTGTGGCTGCTTGTACTAGTCCGGACTGATGCCGATTTATAGTGCTAGCCCACTGAGATACCATGCCGCAGTTTAACATGAATACCCCACTCAGACACAGTATACTGACTCCGAGCCGACCAGTCCTTGTTTTAGTACAACAAGTACCATCTTTTAACGTCTTTTGGTATGACGCGGCCGGGGATCGAACCCCGGACCTTCCGCTCTCCGGGCGGACGCTCTACCACAAGACCACGGAGGCGGTCTCTATTTATCTGTATCTCAATAAACATCGTTATAGTTATTGACAGTTAATCATATATTACCTGGGGTAGAATCGTCAGTCGTGATCTGACGTCATGCAACCCGATGTCAGCAATGTTGATCCCATCAATCACAATGGAGCCTGCGGCGGCCTCGAGGATCCTAAACAAAGCCAAGGTGAAGGTCGACTTTCCGGCGCCAGTTCTACCCACAATACCAACCTGAAAAACAAATGGCCTTCACTGTCACTATTCAGTGATCCGGGTCAGAATAGGTCTTCAGCAACCCATGTTTGACGTAAAAGGCGACTATGCTTGTCGTAAGAGGCGACAAACAGGATGGCGTGGTCAGGCTCGCTGACTTGGTGGATGCATGTCATCGTATCCCAAATGCGAAGATCGATGCTCATGATGACAATCACTGGACTGTCTGGTCCAGACTCGATTAATTACAACACCGCCGTCATACAGCTTGAATATTGTTGAGTGCGGCGTGAAACAAACAAACAAACAAACAATTTTGCTCTGAAACAAATCTCCTATTTTTCGTATCGTTGTTGTTAATGATTAAACAATCAACGTGTGAAGTTATTATTGTTGACTAACGCGGCTTTACAGAGCGTCCGGGGCGGTCGGGTAGCCTAGTGGTTAAAGCGTTCGCTCGTCACGCCGAAGACCCGGGCTCGATTCTCGGCATAGGTACAATGTGTGAAGCCCATTTGTGGTGTCCCCACCGTGATATTGCTGGAATATTGCTAAAAGCGGCGTAAAACCTCGCACACTCACTCACTACAGAGCGTCCACGCTGGTGTCTACTTTAATACCTTTATAATCAAAGACGATATGAACACTTAATTACCGTTGGGTTTATAAGTAAGAATACTGTAACAGGCGACTAAATGGATCGGTGGTCAGACTTATATTGGTTGCACGTTAACCTATCCTTATTGTGTGGATCGATCAAGCAGTGGATTGTCTTGCCCAGGCTGGATTATGCACAAACCGTCGACATAAGTGTTGCGTTAAACATCAAAATTAACAAAACAAAACTATCCACCGTTTCACTCTCCAGCCCACCTTCTCGCCTCCTTGTATTGTACAGTGAAGCCCCTTCAGGACCAGGTCCAGGCCTGGCCTATACCGGGTCATGTAGTTAATGAAGTCGACTCTCCCGTACTCAGGCCATTCGGCTGGTGGCCGGTTGTTATCTATTACCGGCGGCGCCTGGGGTAAACAAGAACAATGATTGTACATAACCATCTTAATTCTGTTCTGCTGTTATTAACTCCATGGAACTCATATGTAACTAATCCATCACAAATAGAGTGTGAAGGTGTAGGGTTACCTCTGTCCGCGTGAATGTGTGAGTACGTGTGACGGTGTACATAACGCTACCTCTGTGTGTGTGGGTGGGGGCCAGGTGATGGTGTACATAACGCTACCTATGTGCTGGTGGAGACCGGGGACGGTGTACATAACGCTACCTCTGTCTGTTTGGATGGGGACCAGGTTACGGTGTAAATAACGTTACCTCTGTGTGTGTGGGTGGAGGTCAGGTGACGGTGTACATAACGTTACCTCTGTGTGTGTGGGTGGAGGTCGAATGACGGTGTACATAACGCTACCTCTGTGTGTGTGGGTGGAGGTCGGGTGACGGTGTACATAACGCTACCTCTGTGTGTGTGGGTGGAGGTCGGATGACGGTGTACATAACGCTATCTCTGTCTGTGTGGGTGGAGGTCGGATGACGGTGTACATAACGCTATCTCTGTCTGTGTGGGTTGAGGCCGGATGACGGTGTACATAACGCTATCTCTGTCTGTGTGGGTGGAGGTCGGATGACGGTGTACATAACGCTACCTCTGTCTGTGTGGGTGGAGGTGGGATGACGGTGTACATAACGCTACCTCTGTCTGTGTGGGTGGAGGTCGGATGACGGTGTACATAACGCTATCTCTGTGTGTGTGGGTGGAGGTCGGATGACGGTGTACATAACGCTATCTCTGTCTGTGTTGGTGGAGGTCAGGTGACGGTGTACATAACGCTACCTCTGTCTGTGTGGGTGGAGGTCGGGTGACGGTGTACATAACGCTATCTCTGTCTGTGTTGGTGGAGGTCGGATGACGGTGTACATAACGCTACCTCTGTCTGTGTGGGTGGAGGTCGGATGACGGTGTACATAACGCTATCTCTGTCTGTGTGGGTGGAGGTCGGATGACGGTGTACATAACGCTACCTCTGTCTCGAGCTCGGCGTACTCCTTGACCCTCTCCACCGACACGATGTTTGTCTCAAGGTCGCTGAGCTGCCGCACCATCCACGACACCGAGGTTGCCACCTGTGACATTCGACATCAATCATGTACATCTTCGTTATCTGCAGTAGACACCGTAGCCATACACTTACACTTATGGGCAGTTGTTTCCTAGAACTTTAATAGTAAGATGCTACTTAATGTTTACATTGTCAGCATATAATGACGCGTTATTACAAGAAATGCAAAGTTCAACGTTCGTGACCTCAACCATATGGTGTGACATAAATTATCCCACCTAACAGTGCTTTCTCAAACTTCAATGAAACCTTAACTAAGGAGAATTCGGTTACTAGGGATACAATTTCATAAGATACCTGCACTAAAACGTATGTCGTAGATGTGCTTGCTGTTTATGCAGCAGTCAACAATATTAAGTGAGTGAGTGAGTGAGTGTGGTTTTACGCCGCTTTTAGCAATATTCCAGCAATATCACGGCGGGGGACACCAGGAATGGGCTTCACACATTGTACCCATGTCGGCAATCGAACCCGGGTCTTCGGTGTGACGAGCGAACGCTTTAACCACTAGGCTACCCGACCGCCCCCAACAATATTAAGCACTTCCAAGGCAACTAGCATGAGACTTACTTGAAGGGCGTATGACACAGACAATCCTATAATACCACCGTTTGTCCCCGGGGTGACGATAGCGAATATGGCGGAAGCGAAAATTATGACACTGGTGATCAAATCTAAATAATAGGCCAACCACCTGGAAAAAAATTTGAATTACTTTTTTAAATGAATGAATTGAAAAAATTGTCACAAAAATTATATTGTTACGTAAACAACATACATGTAATCAATCATAGATATACTTTATGTTACGATATAAATAGTTGCATAAACATGTGGTGAATTGGTAGTAATTGTAATCAAAGGACTTAACGTTATGATGAATAAGCATCACATAATAGTGTGAGGTGATCGTCTAAGGTACAGGAATGCGCTGTGCAGAGTTGCGTCCCTTGGACACGCCATAAACCTACAACAATAGGTTCGAACTCACTCATTCACTATTGTATGTGAGGTAAACGACACCACAGATATCCAAGGCGGCTAAATTGGATGGTATTGCCATCGTGCCACCCTGCATTAGATACATGTAGTTTCGTATGCTTTCAGTCAAATTTAATTATGCACAATGCGTCTTGTTACAGCTTGAATACTGCTGAGTGCGGAAATACAGGACGTTCACGCTTTACTTACGTACATACATGTTACAACAAATAATATCCACTCATACTATTCTTACTATAACGTTATAATTAGTTCTTCTTCGAACTTATTGTTTAAGTTAATATTTTTTTAGACTTCATTTAAATTAAAATTATTCTTTTAAAAATTATTATTGCCAGATGTTAACGTCTCATGTATCACACGGTGAATGAAAACGCAAGTTAATTTGAATTTTTTTTAAGAGTGATTGAGTGAGTGAGTATGGTTTTACGCCGCTTTTAGCAATATTCCAGCAATGCCACGGCGGGGAACACCTCAAATGGGCTTCACACATTGAACACGGGTCTTCGGCGTGACGAGCGAAAGCTTTAGCCACTAGGCTACCCCGCCGTCTTTTAAGAAAGAAATCTCAAAACAAAGCGTGTTGACATCTGTTCTATCCAGGAATTCCCAGTGGGCTGTCAATATTCAACTCATCTGTCCTTGTGTAAGGCGCGGCATTTAGCTATGAGTTTCCTCACTAATATAGCCTCTCTTATGTTCCATGGTCGTTGGTGAACGCCTGTACCTCCGGTCTGTCCCCCCAACCGATACGCCTTGATATAAATGAAGTTTCTGCTCAAAGTTGCGTTAAATCTAACCCACTCCTCCTCATCCATCCCGACATCCCCACGGTTACGTAGTATCCCGTCACCTGATACGATTGAGTACCTGTTCGCCATCAACCCGGCAAAGTAGAAGACCTGATTCCTGTCCACTCTCTTCTTGGACTCGTCTATAAATCTGTCCACGGCTCCGTAGGCGCGGATGCTGCTGGCGCCGGTGATGGTCTCGCTGAAGTGGATGTAGACGGGGGAGCGGGTCACGGACTCGATACGCTTCAGCTGCCGGGACGTCGGGATGTAGAAGTTCTTGGAAACAAACGAAAGGCCAGTGTCATCCAGCAGGAAACACATTTTCTCGTTTCACCAGCTCATGCATTTATACCAAGCTCCTCACAGCGATAGTCCGTTCGTCGAGCTCTCTATACTATCGCTGCCACCGGTCAAAACTCCCCACTGTGATAGGTGGCCCCAACCATGCTTGGAGTTGAACTCGCAACCGAATGACCGTTATGTTTACAAACAAGTGACGACTGTCATGACGCCGAAGACACTTACCGCTGCTAAATTACTTTCTTTGTCAACATGGTCAGTCGTAAACCTTTTCAAAATGAAATATGATGGCATTCCCAAAGACATAAACAAAAGTATAAACGGTACTACATTTGGGGTTAGAGGGCAAATTTCAAGATTCTTTTAATGGCCGCTCCCACACTGGTGGCAGCGATGTTACCGAGAGTGTAACGAAGGTGTCACGCGCTGAGAAGGAGCTTGGCATTTAAACGTCACAATTCGGTTAAAAGGGATGACAGTGCAATATATGCAAAAGGTTGCGATAGAATTCACCTCACTCACGGGTAAAAAGAAACTTCGCCTAATCATAATTTGTTGTAATCTGAATAAAAATGTTGTTACAATATTGCCGTTCATAATTCACCTAAGCGCAATCAACACGTCTGATTCTGTTCACGGAATCTCGCGCAAAATGATTTTAACCGTAAAGAGTTAGGGTTTGAAAGCAGCAATGCTGTCCTCTGTGACACATTGAAGACACACTGGCCATAACGTGGACAGGCCAAGGAGTGGTCTGTCATCCGCCACCACCCTCAATGAAGACCGTTATCTATGCGTCATACACCTGAGGAATAGATTCGTCAGCAACTGCCTTTGGGCATCCTTGAAGAACTGTTATCGAGGTCACAACTGCAACATGCTATGTGACGTGCCTCAATACCGTACCAGGGAATAGCCTTGACACCACAACGTCGACGTCAAGGTTTGAGGTGGGCACGGACTAATGGTCAATGGCAGAACAGAAACTGGGAACGGGTACTGTTTTATGAAGACCGTTTATTCCAGCCCTTCAGTCCTGCTGGCATAGCTTGTATTCACCTTCGACGGGGACAGTGGAGGTCACGCTGTTGCATTCAGGAGGTCGTGTCATTACGCTGTTGTAGCGTCAGGGTTTGGGGCGGTATCTGTCGACAGCAATTGTCAACGCCAATCTCACGACACAAAGCTACGTGGGTGAAGGAAATGGCCCAGATTTTCACCCGTACCTGCAACAAAACCCTCGGACCATATTCCAACAGAACGCCCGACCACACAAAGCGCGAACTACCATGAACTTTTACACGCCAAAAATGGGAACGTTTTGCCCTTGCCAGTCCGATACTTTGACATCTCTCCAATTGAACATGTGTGGGATCATTTTGTAGGTAAAGTTAGAGCACGACAGGTTCCGATGATGACATGGTTTATTGCAAGCACCAGTAGAGAAATGGAGCCGCATTCGACGTCGGACGTACTCCGCTCGCCGTCCGGTGAGAGTCTGTATTGATGCCCGTGGGGGGCACACACGGTATTGACAACAGTTGTAGCCATCATGCCACTGTTCACCAAATGTATTGTTGAATGATCGAAAACCGGACAACTTACCGAACACTCATGATTGTGCCCCATACATGTTTTTTTTTTATCAACTTACAATTGAATATTTTTATAATTATTAATGTTTATGCAAAATGATGTATTTGTCAATTATAACTATAATGTCTCAACTGTCTTTCCTGTGTGTCTAGTTTCTCCAGTGTGCGTATGTATCTGTCACGGTATATTGCGATCTTTGTTTCAATTTGTGTAGTATTTGTCACGCTAACGTTGTTTACTACACGTGTCCATTTTCGGAATGATCTAAGATCGCTATATTCCAAAAAAAATCATGTAAAAGTAGAGATGCGTTTTGAAATTTGAGGTAGTTCAATGCAAAATAAAACCAATGGATACATTTTTAACCTTACATTTAAGTATGTCCCTTGTGTAGCGATTGGTTCCAAATTAATATACGAGGGATCTACTGTGGAAAACCACCTCAAAATTAAAAAAACAGAAGGTTGATATCTTAATAATAATTAGAGTTTACAGACAAATGAATAACGGGTTCAGAAAAAACTAAAATCAAATTTGCTGGGACTGCCAGTTAGCCTGAGTCAAAGACCCTTTAATGAGTAGTGTTTCATTTACCAACGGGTAGACTAGCAATGAGTCCTACTGGGTTTAGATATTGTTTATAAGTATTGAAGACTTTCTAGGGATATTCGGAGTTTTTAGTTGCTCGTGTTAAGCCTCAGAACCCGTTCGACTCTTCTTACCTGTATACACAGATATAGAATAACAAGCGGAATCAAGACTGAGATGAAGAGAGGAGTGCTGATGGTGATGATGACGAGAGTGGCGACGACGTTGGAGAAGGTGGATAACAGCATCCTGATTATCAAAGGCAGGGTGTTGTCAATGGTTTCGACGTCACGTGACAGGCGGTTGATGATGCGTCCGTAAGGCGTGGTGTCGAAGAACGACATGGGTGATCTGAAGACGCGGCTGAGGATGGCGTCATGGAGACGCGCAGCGGCTCTCACCATCCTCACACGAAGAAGATAGCCATATCCAGTGACGACGACAACTACAATGAAAATGAAATCGTTTGTGTCCAAGGCAAGCTTTCATACCTGGTGAGTGATTGAGTGAGTGAGTGAGTATGGTTTTACGCCGCTTTTAGCATTATTCCAGCAATATCACGGCGGGGGACACCACAAATGGGCTTCACACATTGTACGCATGTCGGGAATCGAACCCAGGTCTTCAGCGTGACGAGCGAGCGCTTTAACCACTAGGCTACCCGACCGCCCCTTTTGATACCTGGTACCTATTTTTACCCGGATTTATAACTGAGTGAGTGATAGAGTGATAGAGTGAGTGAGTGAGTGAGTGAGTGAGTGAGTGGATGGGTGGGTGAGTGAGTGAGTGAGTGAGTGAGTGAGTGAGTGAGTGAGTGTCGATTTACGCTGATGGCAGAATTATTAAAATATTATCTCGGCGGGGGACACCAGTAACGACCTTTACACATTGTTAACATGTGGGGAATCGAACCCGGACCTTTGTGCGAACGCGTTAACCACTGTCCACCTTCTTCCTTGGACCCGGGTATGCCTTTGTTTGTTTGTTTCTTTTTGTGTTTGTTGTGTTACACCGCACTCAGAAATATTCCAGCTATGGGACGGCAATCTGTAAAATAATCGAATCTGACCAGACAATCCAGTGATTGGTATCACGAGCATTGATCAACGAAATTAGGGTGCGACGACATGCATCAACGAAGTCAACGAGCCAGACCACCCGATCCCGTTAGTCGCCTCTTACGACAAGCATAGTCGCCTTTTATGGCAAGCATGGGTTGCTGAAGACCTATTCTACCCCGGATCTTCACGGGTCCCGGGTAATCTGCAATGTGTCATCTGGACTGTGTTTGTAGTAAGAAGCGAAAATATGGATCAAATGGTCAGACCCGTTGCTTGCATGTTAACATGACGGAGGGGGACGTTGCTCTTAATATCAACCCCTAGGTTCAGACTCGATCATTTACATACTGCGTTGCTGACTGTGGCGTAAAGCAATACTCACTCACTCACTCGTGTCTCCCGTTTGGATTCCGGGTCGAAAGAGGAGTGAGTGAGTTGTTTTTTACGCCGTTTTTAACAGTATTCCAGTTATATCGCGTCGTGTCAGCTTAATGTGGGAGGAAAGCCCACAGTAATGCAGGTCTCAGACGTTTACCACTTCGGTGAAACCCACGAGCGCGGGTATGGTGCTGACAAACCTGGAAACATAATCGGGGCGAACCGGGATTCGAACCCACAATCATAGGTTTCTGGCGTGCTCAAGGGACGCAACTCTGCATAGCGAATTGCGGCGCCTTAGACGACTGGGCCACCCGTGCTCCCCGGTCGAAAGAGGAGCCTACATGGATCGGGTGGTCAGGCCAAGTGATTTGTTTGTTTGCGTGTCATGGTAACCCGGCGGTAACAGCCTTAACAAACTAACGTGCCATGCAAAAGAAAGTATACATCCCTTATTTGGTGTTGGCTAAAAAGGAAACAAATAATGATAATTTGATGGTGATGTTCTTGAATCGAGTATCACTGTGTCGTCTTTGCAGTGTTTCGGAAACTATTTCAGCCTAGTAAGGTTTTAATAACGTTTTTGTGGGTCGGTCGGGTAGCCTAGTGGTTAAAGCGTTCGCTCGTCACGCTGAAGACCCGGGTTCGATTCCCGACATTGGTACAATATGTGAAACCCGTGTCTGGTGTCCCCCGCCGTGATATTGCTGGAATATTGCTAAAAGCGGCGTAAAACCTTACTCACTCACTCAATTTGACAACGTTTGTGATATCTTGACTCAATCCAATTTTCAAATGGCGGGGCAGTTTCCTGGAGTTAACTCACTCATCCACAAGGCAAAGGAGGCGTACACTCCAAGATATCTGTAGTTCACATCCACAAATGTTTCAGTGGTCACGGCGGTGTCGTTGGTCAGCCTCGGGTCCTCCGTCCAGTCCGTGAGGTAGAAGCCAGCCCATGAGTTGATCACCTGATATGTAAGGAAGAGCAGCACCGCCACAATGAACGAGGGTAGTCCCGCCGCCCTTCCGTACATGAGGAACACGCCCCACTTCACCTGTAAACGTTCATATACCATAATGCATACGTTCTGTTGTCTAGCAGGTACTGTTTATGAAATTATCACACTTCATGAGCAGGTCCAAGGAGGTACAAGGGGATGCCAATCCCATTTTCAGACAACTAACGGTAGTGCAATAATCTTGAAAGCAACTTCAAACCCCATTTCATCTTACCTTCAAGATAAGTATATTAAATTAGAATTGGGACTCTTTGTTTCTTCTTCCGGAATTAAAGGATTTTTATGTTTCGCCAACATGAGGACGATGAGGAAGCAGCCTGAAGGTATTCAATACTAAACAGTTTTTGAAAGTTGGACTATCTTATATATGACAGTGAGTGAGTTGGGATTAGCACCGCTTTTAACAGTATGCCAGTCATATCACGGCGTGTCAGCTTAATGTGGGAGGGATGCCCGAAGTGATGCAGGTCCCAGACGTTTACCACTTCGGTGAAACCCATGAGCACGGGTATGGTGCTGACAAACATAGAAACATAATCGGGGCGAACCGGGATTCGAAGCCACAATCATAGGTTTCTGGCGTGCCCAAGGGACGCACCTCTGCACAGCGAATCGCGGCGCCTTAGACGACTGGGCCACGCGTGCCCCCTTGAAAGTTAGACTATCTTATATATGACATAAACTGAATAACCAGCTCGATGCTTTCTTTGTTTTCCGTTATTCACATAACCAATATGTGCTTACTTAAGACTGCTATCAAAGGAACGGATAGTACTGCCTACCTTTCCGTGGTTGACAGTCTCCTCCTCCGTCAGCATCCCGTTCCTCACGCCCCCGACACGCTTACGACTCCTCTCACTCCGAGATAACGACATCGACTTCGAGTCCGTCATTTTCCTAGGAAACATCAGTTCACATCAGATGTTGATGTTTTATGCAACGGTATGCTGAGTAATGTTTCTTCTTTTTATACTCGACTGCAACGGAACCTAAGTAAGTAAGTAAGTGAGTGAGTGAGTGAGTGAGTGAGTGAGTGAGTGAGTGAGTGAGTGAGTGAGTGAGTGAGTGAGTTTCACGATGCTCTCAACAAAATCAGCAATATCACGAACGGGGGCACCAGATATAGACTTCACACACAGACCCCATGCGGGAAATCGAACTCGGACTATCGGCGTGCGAAGCGAACGCTTTAACCACTAGCCTTCTCCACACACCCCTGACTATATGGCGAAGTATATCCATAGTTCGAGATAAGCGGAGTGCTAACGTAATACGACAGTGTCATGGCGACATAAGTACATCGAGTAGATAACCAGATGACCAGGTCTGAGTGAGTGAGTGAGTTTGGTTTTACGCCGTTTTTAGCAATATTCCAGCAATATCACGGCGGGGGACACCAGAAAGGGGCTTCACACATTGTACCCATGTCGGGAATCGAACCCGGGTCTTCGGCGTGACGAGCAAACTCGACCGCCCCGACCAGGTATGACAGCATTCAGAAGCATATAACAGCATAAAGATGTAAACACGAAAGAGATGGGTTTTTTTTAACTTATATGCGAGGAAGCATTTACTGTAAACCAAAAATGCTTTTAATTCATAGAAACGAAATTGTTGCAAATCAGATTGAATCCATCTATCTCATTGTATATACATATCATACAAAGTAAATGCCGGGCAAAAGAAAGTATACACCCATGTTTGATAGTGGCTAAAATGAAACAGGCAGGAAATGGTTATTCGATGGTGGTGCATTTGATACGTGGTATTTGATAAGCGATATCACAAACATCATATCAAAGAGCATCTCACTACAGGACAGCCTGGTAATGTTTGTAACAAATGTTAATAACAAATGCGTAGAAAGTCCTATGACTTTGTTTATAAAATCAAGAGGACTGTTTAACCTCGACGGAGTGAGTGAGTGAGTATGGTTTTACGCCGCTTTTAGCAATATTCCTGCAATATCACGGCGGGGGACACCAGAAATGGGCTTCACATATTGTACCCATGTCGGGAATCGAACCCGGGTCTTCAGCGTGACGAGCGAACGCTTTAACCACTAGGCGACCCGACCGCCCTAACCTCGACGGATGAGTGAGTGAGTGAGTTGGGTTTAACGCCGCTTTTAACAGTATTCCAGTTATATCAGGGCGTGTCAGCTTAAAGTGGGAGGAAAGCCCGAAGTGATGCAGGTCTCAAACGTTTACCACATCCACGATCACAGGTTTCTGGCGTGCCCAAAGGACGCAACTTTTCACAGCGAATCGAAAAGAAAAGAAAAGATCCCCATCTACCTATGCTGGTTGTAGGAAGGGACCAAATGGGTCGGGTGACCTGGTTGATTGCGTGTCATGTAACCCAGATTGAGTTACACGTTCTCATAATATCAGTCACTCGATTACTAACGGACCGCCGTCATATACCTGGAATATTTATGGATGAAGCTTTAAATAAAAACACACGAAATTGGGGTTATCCTGGTACCTTCTTTTCCTGATGAAGCCGTCGTCAGAGGAACTGTAATCGGACATGAGAAGTTCTAGCTTGCCCCGCATCCTTTCCTTGATCTGCTGGACTGTAGATGACATTGACACAATTAACTGTCGATGGTACTTGTGTGAGTCGCGGGTACAAAAGTTCGGACAGGACATGCTTAACCTTTTCGCAAACACCTGGTGTCATCACTGATTTCTAGTGATCCATTCATATAACTTTCGCCACTGATTTACCTTTTACGACCAACGAATTCCGTTTCGGCGGATAATCAAGACTGGTTATTCTCTGGCGTTGACGTTAGAGTGAGTGAGTGAGTTGGGTTTAAAGCCGCTTTTAACAGTATTCCAGTTACATCACGGCGTGTCAGCTTAATGTGGGAGGAAAGCCCGAAGTGATGCAGGTCTCAGACGTTTACCACTTCGGTGAAACCCACGAGCACGGGTATGGTGCTGAAAAACCTAGGAACATAATCGAGGCGAACCGGGGTTCGAACCCACAATCATAGTATTCTGGAGTGCCCAAGGGACGCAACTCTGCACAGCGAATCGCGGCGCCTTGGACGACTGGGCCCCCGTGCCCCCTGACGCTTGTCCGGACGTTATCGTTCGTTGTGGTAAAGTGATAGTAGGAGTAGGCGGTGTTAGTTTTTGGCACCACCCTTATTCGAAATATAAATAACACTTTACGATTTATTGTATCAGGTTTAAAAAAACAAAATGAAATCTTTAAAAATCCGAGACTTACAAAACGTGAAAGTATAACACGACCATAAACTCATTTGTGGATATAATGTAAAATATGTTTAGATCCTAAAGTTATTTCTTAACACGTCCCTTGTGCCATACTTTTACCCTGCTTTGGGTCTAACATGAGTGAGTGAGTATGGTTTTACGCCGCTTTTACAATATTCCAGCAATATCTTGGCGGGGGACACCAGAAATGGGCTTCACACATAGTATCCATGTAGGGAATCGAACCCGGGTCATAGGCGTGACGTGCGAACACTTTAACCAATAGGCTACCCGACCGCCCCCAGGGTCTCCTAACATGTATAGGATCTAAACATGTTTAGGATTCTGTTTAGCAGCTAAACGTGTTTCGGGTCAAAATGTTGGAGAGAACTAAGATGTGCACTTTTTTTTAAAATGCCTAAATTCTTCACATTCTACATGTTGTTAGGATAATACATAATGACATGCATTTTGTCGTAAAAGTGTTTAAATTCTAAACATGAGTTTCTTATGGGGATGTTATATTGAGATGCTGTTTAGGCTGTAAGGCGAGAACTAAGGGAACTGGATATAGATTTTTTTAATCCACTAAATCTTAATCCACTAAGCCCTTCGTACACATGCTTAAACGGTCGCACATCTATGTAACAACACATAGTCTGGAAGGTAATTTAAGGTACCGACGTTTACTACAATACCAGTATCTGAAAAACTAGTGGACCTACTCCAGTCAAAGTTGGTATGAGATTATTAAACAGTCTTACATAACTGGATATTACATTTAAAGACAATCGGTGCATGAATAAAAAATCTGTCTATTTAGCTATCACTATATTTCATCAACAAACAGACCTGTTTGTCACGGGTGGAACGAGCATTCATTGAAACAGCCATCTGCATAATGCTACCCCTGCGTCACAGGGCCATATGACACAGTTGAACCAATCAACTGATCAACTCGAAAGGGTGCACGGGAATCACGCACGCACGAATACGGTTTTAGCGTTGGGCGTCTCAACGTGCGTGGTTATAATTGCCTATAATGCAATTGCAAAATATTACGGTATCCTCGTCTTCTTACTTTCCTCATCCTCATCGTCTTCCTCATCAGTTTTCTCAATCAGGTATTCCTGCAGGAATTGAGCAAAATGGCCGTTACGGGTCATCAGCTGATCATAACTTCCGGCCTCTGTGATGCCGCCGTCGTTCATTACAATGATATGGTCCACCATGGGAAGCCAATGGACACCGTGAGTCACCAGGATCCGGGTCTGGTGACAAAAAACATTCATCATTAATAGTGTGATTGCGCACATGTTGTGTTACGTATTATTACGTATTAAGACGTAAAACACTATTGTACGATAAAAAACGACCACGAGTCTTTTATTTCTTATATGAAAATCCAGTGACCGATATTGCGAGCAACGATAAACATCATCGGAACACGATGCCCTGCATACAACCATGTCGCTAGGTCAGACCACCCAATCAATATAACCTGTGCGGCAAAAAAAACTCTCAGATGATTTTATCATAAGTCTTATTTTCAGTTGAAAATATCTTAGCGATACATTATTGAAGAAATGAATAGCACTGGCGATGAGTCAGCACTCAAGGAATACCTCTACATTGTTCTAATTTTAAGAAATAATTTGATTAAAACTTTAACAATTTGAAAGAAATATTCGCATAATTCTCAACTGTACATGTGATGGTCAATTTTGACATCTCATCTTTGAAAATCTTTAAATTTGCATTCTCGGCACGAATTTACATTTAAAAAATGGCTGGGGTAATGTGGTGGCAAATTCATTTTTTAAACATTTAAACAATATATTTTTCCACAGGATACTTTTTTAGAATCTGTTGCAGGAATAAGTGATGGTCAAATAGACATATAATCAAATTTAACAACAGTTCCCTTCAATTTTCAAGCACATAAAATAATTATTTTGCCTCTCAGTCTCCTATTATGACCAGCATAGGTTCCTGGGGACCTATTCTAATCCGACATTATGAATAGGTATGTATATGCAGTTATGCCTATTACTATTCTCTGTGGGGTACCTACCTTTCCATGGAGTAAGCCGTTGGGGCCGATGACGTTCTTGAAGATGTGTTTGCCCACGTGACTGTCAACGGCGCTGAGGGGATCATCCAACAGATAGATGTCCGCGTTACTGTAGACCGCACGTGCAAGACTCACGCGCTGCTTCTGACCTCCGCTCAAATTGATACCCTGAAGGTCAAGGTCATCCGTAAACAAGAATGAGTGAGTTTGGTTTTACGCCGCTTTTAGCAATAGTCCAGCAATATCACGGCGGGGGACACCAGAAATGGGCTTCACACATTGTACCCATGTCGGGAATCGAACCCGGGTCTTCGGCGTGACGAGCGAACGCTTTAACCCCTAGGCTACCCGACCGCCCCTCCGTAAACAAGCACATGATGACAGTGCTACACCGTTTGTCTGGGAATCAGCGAACACCGCAAGTGTCCACATATGGCGACAACATAAACTTCACGTTAAATACACGTCATTTTTATCTTCGACTTCAATGGCAGAAAAATTGTTGCTACAGTTTTTAACTATAATTAATCACTCGATTTATTTTTATCTGAGTTTATTCTAACCAATGTCTCATTATGATTGATTTGTCAATTGGTGTAGGCGTCAGCGATTCTATGTTGGAGTTTATACATAATTATAAACAAGATTCTCTACGTTTAACCTGACATTGGTCAAGGTCAAAACGCCCCATCTCCGTGACGTCGTACCATAGCAACGCAAATATGTCACTTGTCAGTTTCTCAGTCTCCCCGCAATTACAAATGGAATCAAACAGGAACAATGACAGGCTTAACATTTCTCACCTTCTCGCCAATCTCAGTGATATCGCCAGCAGGTAGGAGGGTCAGGTCGGCTTTTAGAGCGCATGCCTCAATCACGGCCTTATATTTCTTCTCACGCCATCTTTTCCCAAACAGGATATTGTCCCTGAGACTACAGTTTTGTATCCATGCTTGTTGCGGCACGTATCCTATAGAGGACTGGAGTGGAAAACATACTGTGTTATAAAAGTGGTCAGTTTTATTTTGTACATTACAATGAAGATTAAGCATATGTTATTTTAAGGCCAAATCAGATAATAATCAGCCGCATGGTATTGTATCGACACTCCTTTCGTCCCGATCTACTTATTACTCGACATATATGCCCCTGGATCTGAGAATTTTGAATTCAAAACGCCGGTTATCCCACTGATGCATTGGTGTTGATGTACGAGACTACGTTTTTTGCAACAGGAAGACTTAACAATAAAATAATAAAAAACAATTCAGTAATATTTCGTTTCATCCGTCACATTTGGGTAATACATGTAACAATATATATACTCTTAAATCGACATGTTGCAAAAAAAAATTGCAACAATTATTGTTGAATCAGGGGTACGGCAGAATGAGATGGCACAGTCATAACCGTCTTAGACCAAGTCAGGAAGCAGGTGGATTGTATACTTCCCAGGAAGTATTTGGAACTATTATCATTGTTATCATTAGTGTTGTTATTGGTAGTACCAGCACTGTGACGGACCCAGATATCTTCTCCATCTCGCCCAGGATCGCTGATATGACGGATGTCTTCCCAGAAGCCACCTGGCCCACGACGGCAACCAGAGCCCCCTCGCGGATATTCATGTCAATGCTGCAACATGTTAAATGCACTGTAGTCTTTGGTGAAGTCTAGTCTGATTTCTCATCAACAGACAGACATATACCTGCTAAACCTATGCGGCGAAAGGTATATAGATTTAATTTCCCCGAAGTAGGATCAACTCATTTTGTTTGTGATTTAGACCCGTGAAGAGCCGAGGTAGACTAGGTCTTCAAAAACCCGTGCTTGCCGTAATATGCGTCTATGCTTGTTGTAAGAGGCGACTAGCGGGATGAGGTAGTCAGCCTTACTGAGGTGATTGATGCATGTCATCGTATCCATGATCGATGATCATGATATCAATCACTGGGTTGTCTGGTGCAGAATCGATTATTTGCAGACCGACGTCATAAAGATGGCATATTGCTGAGTGCGTGAACTGGAAATCTGTTCAAAGCGGCATTATAACCAATTCGTTCGTCACGTAATATGTTCATCTATCACCTGGATAGCACAGGTGATTCTGATAAAAGCCTTACTTTGTAAGGGTCGGGTCCATGGTCCTGTCCCAGGTGAAAGATCCGTTAATTATTTGTACTGCGTAATCTAAAAGAAACACAACATTCTTGTGGTAGACATTACAGCATAGCTAACTCGAACACCGTTAACTCGAACTCCATTAACTCGATATAATGCTTAAAACTACGAAATTAAAAGGTCCCAATGGTTCCTACTGACGTCGGGGCGGTCGGGTAGCCTAGTGGTTAAAGCGTTCGCTCGTCACGCCGAAGACCCGGGTTCGATTCCCGACATGTGTACAATGTGTGAAGCCCATTTCTGGTGTCCCCCGCCGTGATATTGCTGGAATATTGCTAAAAGCGGCGTAAAACCATACTCACTCACTCACTCACTCCTACTGACGTCAAATAGTTGTAGACGATGAATAGTCGCTCTCTCAGTGATGGACAAATAATTTATTTGTTTAACATAAGGCATATTGTTAACTCAAACTACATTTACACAAAATGTTTTTAAGACCATGTTTTGGTCTGGTCCCTGTAGCATCCTTATCGATACTTGGGTCTATTATCAAAGCTATGCTGTGGATGTCCTGGCTGCAAGTTAACGAAGTTTCATTCTAATCTAAAATCATTGGACGTTCCGTACAAAAGAAAAACTGCTGAGCAAAAAACAGTGTACGCCCATTTTTGATGGTGTCAAAAATATGAACAAATGGCTATCTGATGATGATGTATTTGACAGAGGTATCAAAGTTATGTTTTTAAGCTTAAGTTTGCATGGTTTCGGCGATTGTTTTCAGCCTAATAACTTTTTGATAACGTTTGTAATTTTATTTTATAAAATCCAATTTTCAGGTGTATACTTTTTTGCACAAAAATATTATATAACTTAGAACGCATTACGCTAATGGCCCTCCATCATATACGGATATTCTGACACGCTGTTAAATAAAAAAAAAGAAATAGAAAACGACGAACTTGGTTAATTCGGAGCTTTCGTTACACCCTAAGTGGAACCATATCAAATAGTCCAGATGTTGTAATCACGACGACTGGTAAGTTATGTGATATGGATATGCTTAGTTGCTCCTAACAGATGTTTCTAGAAAGCGAGGTTTTGGAATCAGTATCTGATTAGAATGTATAATATCTCACACGTGGGATGTGAAGTTGTATTATAGCACTTCATGATTGAAATATATGAATACCTGACTCATGGTACACGTATGTGTATTTTAACGGCTTTAATTTTTTAAAATAATCTTTCGAATTTTGATAAGTATAATTACTCGACGTAAGTTGATTATGTGTACAACTAACGGACTAAGATATATATAATTACCAGACTAATGTCAGTTTTATCTATCCGACTTATGATATGTATGCTAACCTGACATGTAGTATGAATACTTACCCGACTAATGATATAATTACCTGACATGCAGTATAACAACCTACCTGATTAATGATATAATTACCTGACATGTAGTATCAATACTTACCCGACCAATGACATTTATAATTACCTGACACTTGAATTCTTACCCGATTAATATGTTTAATTACCCAACATGTAGTATAATTTATTCAGCCAACTAATGATATGTATAATTATCTGACATGTAGTATGAATACTTAACCGACTAATGATATGTAAATCTACCCGACTCATAGAATGAATAATTACCCCACTTGTGATATAAACAATATTCCCACTAATGATATGAATGTCTACCCGATGAACAACATATTTTACAACCTTATTTATGGTAAAAATAATGACCCGACTTATGATAATTTTGTATAATTACCTGACATATAGTATATATAATTACCCGACGTATCATATATATAATTACCCGACTTATGATTCTCATAATAACCCACTTTTTTGCATATATAATTACCCGATTGATGGTCGATCTGCACGTTTTCAGGACTAAGGTCTTCAATACAAAGAAAGGTATTGATTCGCTGCGTCGATACGAAAGCCTAAAAAGTATAAATATGCACATTAAAACATCCAGGCCTTATATAAATCGGGGCACGGGTGGCCCAGTCGTCTAAGGCGCCGCGATTCGCTGTGCAGAGGTGCGTCCCTTTTGCACGCCAGAAACCTATGATTGTGGGTTCGAATCCCGGTTCGCCCTGATTATGTTTCTAGGTTTGTCAGCACCATACCCGTGCTCGTGGGTTTCACCGAAGTGGTAAACGTCTGAGACCTGCATCACTTCGGCCTTTCCTCCCACATTAAGCTGACACGCCGTGATATGATTGGAATACTGTTAAAAGCGGCGTTAAACCAGACTCACTCACTCACTCACTCACTCACTCACCCAACATCAGAAACCGATGGAGTTTGAACTTATAACCACTCCAGCCATATCAAAGAGGAGAATTGCTATCGAATCTTCGATATGGGAATTATTATTGTTCCAAGTGTATGTCGAAAGATTGTCTTCAGGTGCAGCCTTAGGACTTGAAATCAAATTTTGTCTCATATTTAAGTTATTCTCATAGACAAAGCAAAGTGAGGCCTGAATTATGGCAAAATATGTTCAAAGTTATTTTGTTTATGATCCCCTGGCCTGGTCTGCCAATAAGGCAAACCCACACTGTAATGCCTTGGTCTAGCAGGCACAGTTACAAGAGGAATAGGTGAGGTGAAATTGGGTTTAACGTCGCGTCCAAGAGTATTGCACTTATATATAGCGACGTGCATGCACGTGCGTGTGTATGTGTGTGGCTGCTTGTACTAGTCCGGACTGATGCCGATTTATAGTGCTAGCCCACTGAGATACCATGCCGCAGTTTAACATGAATACCCCACTCAGACACAGTATACTGACTCCGAGCCGACCAGTCCTTGCTTTAACCCCTTAATGTCGAGCGCCAGACAGGGTAACAACAAGTACCATCTTTTAACGTCCTCTCTGCCGTCATATCTCTCCCTCGACACAGCTAGTTTACCTGTACTGCACTCGAGATGATTCCTGGAAGAAGATTCATGGGGACCCGGAGGATGTTGAAGAGGGAGAGGGTGACGAAGGCTTTGTTGGCATCCAACTGGTTGTTGGGGTCGGAGAGGACGTACGTTGCGAACGTTGCCAGGACCACCTGTCGTCACAGTAAGACATTTGGCTTACTCGTTATGTTAAACACAAACTATGCTTTGATTGAGAAGTATTCCTGAATTTTAGGTCATATATTTATTTTCATGTTTCATGTAATAATAATAATAATAATAATAATAATGATAATGATGATGATGATGATAATAATAATAATAATATCAGATCCATTTACGTGTCTGAAGAGACACAACATGTGTATGTGTGGGTCAGGACCGAAGCCCTAGAAACTCTGTCAAACTTGCTGTAAAGAATTCATTAATTCTAGGCAATATCTTTTATTTATGTCTTTTTCGCAGTGTGAAATTGTACTTCTCTTTTTCGCGAAATCACAATATGATTCGTTGATTTGAAATCAAAATTCCAGTTTATGAAGCCTTTAAACCGTGGTCTGTATTACAGTAACTAAACTGCAAACCATGAAACGTTAGTACCAGGCGCCATCTTGTTTTCTAGCAGACGAGTCAATATGTATCACGTAGATGTAACAGTTCAAAACTGATCATGTGACGAGTCAATATTCGAGGTCAGTGTCAGTCACATGATTTGGGGTCTACATTGAATTGTAATGTGTCGTAACGTGGTACGGATCCGGATTCAATGGAATTGCAGGATTCTTAATACAGGTATAACAGTGATGTTTGACATGCCCCTTGTGAGGATGATGTTTGAGATGCACCGGGTGAGGATTGTGTTTGACCAGCCCTGGGCGACAATGATGTTTGACCTGACCAGGGTGAGAATGATGTTTGACCTGTTCCGGGTGAGGATGATGTTTGACCACTCTCTGGGGATGATGATATTTGACATGCCCCGGGTGGATATGATGTTTGACCTGACCCGGGTGAGTATGATGTTTGACCTGTCCCGGGTGAAGATAATGTTTGGCATGCCTCGGGTGAGGATGATGTTTGACCACCCCTTGGTGAAGATGATGTTTGACCACCCCCGGGTGAGGAAGATGTTTAACCTCACACAGGAGAGGATGATGTTTGACCTAGACCCGTTTGGGGATGATGTTTGACCTGACCCGGGTGACAATGATGCTTGACCTGACCCGGGTGACAATGATGCTTGACCTGACCCGGGTGACAATGATTATGACCTGACCCGGGTGAGGATGATGTTTAACCTCACGCAGGAGAGGATGATGTTTGACCTGTCCCGGGTGAGGATGATGTTTTACCTGTCCCGGGTGAGGATGATGTTTAACCTCACGCAGGAGAGGATGATGTTTTACCTGTCCCGGGTGAGGATGATGTTTAACCAGCCCCGTGTGACAATGATGCTTGACCTGACCCGGGTGAGGAGGACATTTGACCACCCCCAGGTGAGGATGATGTTTGACCTGTCCCGGGTGACAATAATGTTTGACCTGACCCGGGTGACAATGATTTTGTCCTGACCTGGTTGAGGATGATGTTTAACCTCACGCAGGAGAGGATGATGTTTGACCTGACCCGAGTGAAGATTATGTTTAACCTGTCCCGGGTGAGGATGACATTTGACCTGCACCGGATGAGGATGTTGAATGACGTACCAGGAATGGTGCCATGGTCCAGCTGATGCCCAGAGCGGCAGAGAGGTAGGAGATCTTCAGCAACACGTCCACCTCTTTCCTCCGCACCGACTCCACCTTCTGCTTGAAAGATGTCTCCCACGCGTACAGCTTCAGCACCTGAGCAACAGCAATATTGAGATTTTGTCTAGAGACCACATAGTTTTTCGGCAACAGCTAAAACATCAGACATTGTTTCAATAAAAAACCAAAGTCCTAATCAAGCAAAATTAAAAGGCCCCTTGGAACAATGTATTTTTTGTGCCCTACATTTTTTTATTCAACAATTTGTAGCAGATATATTTTTTAAGCATTTCGGCGACAACATTATCAAACGGTCAGCTAATATCAACTTATACTAAACTGCATAGCAAAAGAGAGTATACCCCATGTTTGATGGCTTGTATACTGTTTACCGCCGCACTCAGCAATATTCCAGCTACAAGACGGCGGTCTGTAAATAATCGAGTCTGGACCAGACAATCAAGTGATTGACATCATGAACATCGATCCACTCAATTGGGATCGATGATATGCATCAACCAAGTCAGCGAGCCTGATCACCCGATCCCGTTAGTCGCCTTTTACGACAAGCATAGTCAGCTTTTACGGCAAGCATGGGTTGCTGAAGACTAGTTCTACCTCAAGTCTTCACGGGTATTGATGCAAAATATGAAACAAACAAGAAATGTTTATTTGATAAGGGTGTGATAGTTGTGTTTTGTACTTTAAGTGTGCATTGTTAGGGTGACAAGAAACGTAATTTATTGGTCAAATCCAATTTTCAAGTGTATATTTTCTCTTTACAGGCAATTTAGTACATTTGAGGAAAATGAAATAATGCCCCAAAATAAGTTTGTACTAGTATCAAAATGCTGGTTTTTGGCACCGACTGTAATTGCAGTGTCCACGGTGGCAACGGGAGGGAAACACAGATAGCACAATAAAAAGGTCTATGACGGGTATGGTTTCACAAAAGCATGGGCATAGCTATGTAGGCTTTGCCTTTGTATCTTGCAATTGAGCACCAATTGTGCTCCCATCCCCTATGACCTCTTTCTTTGTACATTCGAGTCGGATTACAGTTCGGGTTAGCAGAATGAGGACAAGGGGGTTCAGCTTAAGGTATATCGATGATCTGATGTCGTTCAATAACGGTCAAACAGCCAATTCCTTTCCACTGCTTTTCCAACCTGTACTAGAAATAAAGGAGATCACTTCATCTGTTTAATATTTAGATCTATGCATGAAGATTAAGAATGACAAAACATTCTCCACAATGTATGACAAGAGGTTGGACTTCAACTTTCCAAAAGTCAACTTTCCCTTCATGTCCAGCAATATTCCAACAGCTTCAGCCCACGGTGGCTACATTTCATATTTTTTTAGGTAAAACCGTTTAATGCTCTTTCTACGAATATTCCAAAGAGTGTCATACAACTCTTGCTCAGAAATTGTTTGATCAAGGTTACAAGGCCTCAGTAAAGCTTTCAAAAAGGCTGACATACAATTGATCATGGAAACGGATTTGTCGCTTTTATTTGTGTAACAAAATCCCAGGGCTCTTATACATTGTTTAGATTGTTGGACTTGCGAGATAGTTTTGATCAAGACATTTTGCTGTGGGGTATTCGGGCCATTTAAAGCATACACGCAGTGACGTGGCACGTACCTTAATCCCATTCAATACTTCATTCAGCAGTTTGATGCGCTCGCCCTTCAGTTGGAGGTTCAGCATCTGCAGCTTCTTCTGGCGTCCACTGAGGCCAGCGTTAAGAGGCAGCAGGACAAGCAAAATGGCGAGACCGGAGAAGACGGATGCCCCAATGGTCTGGTAGATCATCGCGATGGACACGATGATCTGGACAGGGACGGAGGACAGAAGAGCGAGGTTGGCCATCACGTCACACACTCGTTGAATGTCCACTGACATCAGGTTGACAATCTCGCCAGTCGTTGTGGTTTTCTTTGCCTCGTTGTTCAGTGTTAACGCCTTTAAAGAAACGTTTGCCATCGATACCAAGTGACATCGAAGGACATCTGTATCTGTTTCAGTTGTGAATGAATGTCGTGTGAATGAATGCTATTAGTTATTTCAGTAATATAACGAGAGCCTATAAATAATTTAGTCTGCATACAAATGAAGAGCTTAGAGCTGGAAGGGGCCAAAATGCACTTTGGCCCTTTTTGCATATTATTGCATAAATAACATCTATGAGTTCTTGTCTACCTGTAGAAGAAATATTGTATATTTCATTGATGCGCTTTTGAAATATAGCTACTTAAAATTCTATAAAAGGGCCAAAGTCAAGTTCAAAAAGGGCCAAAGTCACTTTGCTAGATTTTGGCCCTTTTAGCTCTCATTTACGTGTGAGGTTGAGACTGGTTGTCTGAGAGAGTTTTTGAGTGAGTGAGTGAGTGAGTATGGTTCTACGCCGCTTTTAGCAATATTCCAGCAATATCACGGCGGGGGACACCAAAAATGGGCTTCACACATTGTACCCATGTCGGGAATCGAACCCGGGTTTTCGGCGTAACGAGCGATCGCTTTAACCACTCGGCTACCCGACCGCCCCGAGAGAGATTTTGAAAGTTTGGACACCTCATTATTATGTTTCAACTATTCAACAAAGTTGGTATTAGTTTAAATCATTCAAAAGAGCTTCAATAGTATGTGTTTATACTGCCAGTAGTAGCTTATCAATCTGACATATTAAATCCCATTCAAATGCCTGAGGGTAAAAAAGGGCCAAAACACAGACATTTGCCCTTTCCACCCTTACACAAATTAAAAACGTAAGTTTATTTCCTTTTTTGAACAACATTTGTATCTCTGGGGTCAAAATGCGTTAATGTCTATGAATTTATCGGTAAAAAAAAGTTCATTAACAGTTTTCATCACCTTTCTGAAAACAGACTCCACATGACATTGGCCCTTATGGCTCTAAGCTCTTCAAATGGTTGATAGAGCAAGCAGCGTCCTACGCCATCGGGGTACAGTGACACTCACTCAGAAGCCAGGTGTGTGGGTGCGTGCGTGCGTGCGCGTGTGTCAGTGAGTGTGCGTGTATGTGTGTGTTTGGGGGGATGAGGTATGAGGCGTGATGGGTACTGAGGATATTATTTTCTGATCTATATTAACCATCCAAAGCGTGTTTCTCTTCACAGTCACATTTCACATGCTGTGAACGCGTTACAATACATCGTAAAAGTGGCATTTAGTTGACGACACAAAATAAATTTGGCTCAATCTCCTTCGGAATGCCTTCCCATAATCAAATGCGAAATACAATGAGTCGTGAAATGTATGGAGGTAAAAGGAATTCTAGAAGTTAAATACAAATTCAAATTTCAAAAAAAATATTTTATCAAAACAATAATCTTTTTTTTTAATGTAGATGAAGAACAAGAACCAAATGATAGGGTTACACACACATTAATGACACTCCTACGGACCTTGCATAACCATTATTTTGTCAGGCTATGGCTATTCATCTTTTGATAGGGACATTTGGGAGTGTTACACGTAACTAAAATAAAGATTTAAGCGAAAAAGAAACATTTTCAATTTAAATTCCAATACCAAAATGTATAAACGTGGACAAAACTTGCCATTACCGCACTGCTGTTACATAAGATGACATTTATTAATACCATCCAAATTAGGCCACCAGAATCAACTCTCAACTGTTTAAATCTTGTCAGTGACTGAGGTGCGTATAGCAATATTCCATCAATAGCACTGCGGGTGATATTAGCTTCTGCATGACGAGCGAACGCTTTGACCACTTGGCTACGCCACCGCCAAAACTAATAGAAAACATGAAAAAGTACATTAATACATACAACATTCTTCTACGTGCATCCAATATGCATTTCGATAAATTTCTGATTCGAACACTAACAGATAGATAACATCAGACAAAACTAACTCACCTTCTTATAGACGGCAGATATGCACGTGGTCTTAATGTTCATACCCAGAACAGTTGCTATGGCTAAACCGGTCTGTCCGATGACACTGGTGAGAAGCTGTATGGCGAGTAGCGAGGAGGCGAGGACATATCCCCACCACATTTCTCTGGGGTACTTGTCGGAGACAAAGCTGATCAAGGAGCTGCAGAAAGAGTGGATTTAAAATTACACTTTCTTTAAACGTTTGAGGGCTAACATCACGAGGAACCTTCTAGTTCCCCTTGAACCAAACATCACACCGAACGCCCTGATATATTCCCCATAAGGGTCCTCACCCTTTTTTGGTGTCTCACGCCGTGACTGAATATTGCTAAAGGAGACGTAAAGGCACATTTACTCATTATCGTCATCATTCATAATCGTCATCACCATCAGCATCGTCGTCGTGGTCATCATAATCATCATTATCATCATCATCATCTTCATCATCATCTTCATCAACATCATCATCATCATCATCATCCTCACCATCATCATTCATCGTCAGTCGCCCCCCCCCCCCCCCCCCCCCCCTTATCCTCATTATTAGCATCATTGAGAACTAACTCTAACATCAATCAATCAATTGCAGCAAAAAATAGTATACTAAACCCCTATATAACTCATTCGCCCACTCGAGTATACACTGTTCCGGGAACAAAATAACTAATTTCCTTTTTCACGAAATATATCTAATTTTATTGAAAGATTCAAAGAAGGAAAATAACCATTTCAAAAACGCCATTAAGCACTCCGTTTTTTTCATTTTGAAGCTCTCAACATCGATGAAGTCTGCAGTAACTGGTGATCGGAATAACTGCTGAGACGTAAAACTGTCATATTTGCTTTGCTACACTAATGATGTCATATACACTGATGGATATACACTTGATCATATTCATGTATTTCTTACCTCAATATTAATGGACCTGCCAGTTTGAGTGTATCACTTATTAAGGTTAAAACCGACATAAGAACTATTCGTCCACCATATAGCCTCCACATGACTCGGAAAAGTGATGGGTTTTCACGTGAAGAGGCGTCGTCGTGCATTTTCTCGAAAGAGTCCGTATAGCTTGACGAAGCGCTGGTACCGATGTTGATACGGTGCTTCTCCATTAAAGGTGACTTTTCGGTGTAGCCAGTTTGGTAGGAATGGTTTGATGTGTTCGTGTAGATAACCTTACGTTTAGGTTTCACCTGTAATCTGAAATGATATTCGTTTAACAATGTGATAGAACGTTTGAAAATATGCTTGAACGTTGTGTCTTTAAAAATATGTTGGATCTTCGAAATGATGTTTGAATGTTATCTCTTTGAAAAGATATGTAAACGTTGAGCCTTTGAAAAGATAGTTGAACGTTATGTGTTTGAAAAGATATGTAAACGTTGAGCCTTTGAAAAAGATATTTGAACGTTGGGTCTTAGAACATTATTTGAACGTTGTCTTTAAAAAAATATTTAAAAGTTGGGTCTTCAAAAAGATGTCTGAATGTTATCTGTTTAAAAAGATATGTAAACGTTGCGCCTTTGAAAATATATTTGAACGTTGGGTCTTCTAACAGATTTGAAAAAATGGGTCTTTGAAAATATATTTGAACGTTTAGTTTTTGAATAGATATTTGAACGTTGGGTCTTTGAAGAGATCTGAAAAATCGGTCTTTGAAAATATATTTGAACGTAGAGTCTTTGAAAAGATATTTAAACGTTGGTTCTTTGGACTATTATTTGAATGTTGGGCTTTAGAATATGTTATTTAACGTAAGGTCTTTTCGAAATGTCGATCTGTGAACACATGTTGGTAGAACTTTCGAAATACAGCATAATAAACCGATGATAGGAAAATGCTTATGCACTGAGGCAAAATAAAATTATCACAGAAAGTACTTACAAAATGCAAATGTCTCACACAACAAACTTTACACAAAGGCCATGTACAAATAAGTTTAACAACTCCCTGTACCATTGGGAGAAGGTAGTCCTGATTTCGATGAAACAGAAGCTAATTATAACTAATGCAACAGACCAGGTCTTCTTTGGGCACCGTCTTTGCCTGTTTAGAGTTGCGTCCCTTAGGTGAAGTCTATGATTACACGATTATGTTTCTACGATTGTCAGCACCCTACCTGTGCCCGTGGGTTTCACCAAAGTAGTAAAAGACCTGTATCAGCTCGGGCTTTCCTCCCACATTAAGCTACCACGCCGTGATATTGCTCCAATGGTGTTCAAATCAGCGATAATCCAAACCCAACTTACGTGGGTGTGCTGACGTGCTTCACTTCCTCCCGCCATTGTGATTCAAACGGAGGTACCAGAGTTCGGCACGTGTCTCGTGGGTTCAGATCCCACAGATCGATGTCCTGTATTCCCTTTCTGTAGCCGCGGATCACCAGCCTAGCAGGGAAGAAGGAACAACAAATGTAAAAACAAAGTATTCGAGAAAATACTGAAAAAAAACAAGCTGGATGTAATCATGAAACAAATCTATTGAGAAATTCCTTTCAGCTCCATCTTTCATATAGATGGATAATTGCGCATATCTGAGTGAGTGAGTGAGTGAGTGAGTGAGTTTGATTTTACGCCGCTTTTAGCAATATTCAGGCAATATCACGGCGGGGGACACCAGAAATAGGCTTCACACATTGTACCAATGTCGGGAATCAAACCCGGGACTTCGGCGTGATGAGGGAACGCTTTAACCACTAGGCTACCCGACCGCCCCTGTGCATGTCTGAAAAAAGGGAACGAAAAAATATTCTGTCTAATCATGTCCCTATCAATCCAGTAATATTCTGCTCATCTCTTGAAAGGGATATCCTGAATATGGCGGAGGAGGCTGAATTTGATTACTTAAAGATCAGGAGTATTCGATGTAATCGTCCGCTAGCAACTAAATAATTAAAATATTAGACAATGTACGTGTGGGTAGTTGTTGTCTGTTAGTATGGCGTTTCTCAGAAGAAAGTCGCTCAAAAAACACTCGTTAATCCGGACAATACTTAGAAAAAAATCGTCCTGATCAAACAATTTCAGGAATAACTAGCCATGGTACGGAGTTGCCTTCGCTATATCGACCTTCAATCCAGGTCTTTCGGCTAACGTGGTCTGTACTAACGACGTTACTGGACTAACGTGATCCGTACTAACGAGGTTTTCACACTAACGTGGTCTGTACTAACGAGTTTTGCGGACTAACGTGGTCAGTACTAACGAAGTTTCTGTACTAACGTGGTCTGTACTAACGAGGTTTCCACACTAACGTGGTCTGTACTAACGAGGTTTCCACACTAACGTGGTCTGTACTAACGAGGTTTCCACACTAACGTGGTCTGTACAAACGAAGTTTCTGGACTTACGTGGTCCGTACTAACGAGGTTTCCGGACTAACGTGGTCTGTACTAACGAGGTTTCCACACTAACGTGGTCTGTACAAACGAAGTTTCTGGACTTACGTGGTCCGTACTAACGAGGTTTCCACACTAACGTGGTCTGTACTAACGAGGTTTCCACACTAACGTGGTCTGTACAAACGAAGTTTCTGGACTTACGTGGTCTGTACTAACGAGGTTTCCGGACTAACGTGGCCTGTACTAACGAGGTTTCCACACTAACGTGGTCTGTACTAACGAGGTTTCCACACTAACGTGGTCTGTACTAACGAGGTTTCCACACTAACGTGGTCTGTACTAACGAGGTTTCCACACTAACGTGGTCTGTACTAACGAGGTTTCCACACTAACGTGGCCTGTACTAACGAGGTTTCCACACTAACGTGGTCTGTACTAACGAGGTTTCCACACTAACGTGGCCTGTACTAACGAGGTTTCCACACTAACGTGGTCTGTACAAACGAGGTTTCCACACTAACGTGGTCTGTACTAACGAGGTTTCCACACTAACGTGGTCTGTACAAACGAAGTTTCTGGACTTATGTGGTCCGTACTAACGAGGTTTCCGGACTAACGTGGCCTGTACTAACGAGGTTTCCACACTAACGTGGTCTGTACTAACGAGGTTTCCACACTAACGTGGTCTGTACTAACGAGGTTTCCACACTAACGTGGTCTGTACTAACGAGGTTTCCACACTAACGTGGTCTGTACTAACGAGGTTTCCACACTAACGTGGTCTGTACTAACGAGGTTTCCACACTAACGTGGTCTGTACTAACGAGGTTTCCACACTAACGTGGCCTGTACTAACGAGGTTTCCACACTAACGTGGTCTGTACTAACGAGGTTTCCACACTAACGTGGCCTGTACTAACGAGGTTTCCACACTAACGTGGTCTGTACAAACGAGGTTTCCACACTAACGTGGTCTGTACTAACGAGGTTTCCACACTAACGTGGTCTGTACAAACGAAGTTTCTGGACTTACGTGGTCCGTACTAACGAGGTTTCCACACTAACGTGGTCTGTACTAACGAGGTTTCCACACTAACGTGGTCCGTACTAACGAGGTTTCCACACTAACGTGGTCTGTACAAACGAGGTTTCCACACTAACGTGGTCTGTACTAACGAGGTTTCCACACTAACGTGGTCTGTACTAACGAGGTTTCCACACTAACGTGGTCTGTACTAACGAGGTTTCCACACTAACGTGGTCTGTACAAACGAAGTTTCTGGACTTACGTGGTCCGTACTAACGAGGTTTCCGGACTAACGTGGCCTGTACTAACGAGGTTTCCACACTAACGTGGTCTGTACTAACGAGGTTTCCACACTAACGTGGTCTGTACTAACGAGGTTTCCACACTAACGTGGTCTGTACTAACGAGGTTTCCACACTAACGTGGCCTGTACTAACGAGGTTTCCACACTAACGTGGTCTGTACTAACGAGGTTTCCACACTAACGTGGTCTGTACTAACGAGGTTTCCACACTAACGTGGTCTGTACTAACGAGGTTTCCACACTAACGTGGTCTGTACTAACGAGGTTTCCACACTAAAGTGGTCTGTACTAACGAGGTTTCCACACTAACGTGGTCTGTACTAACGAGGTTTCCACACTAACGTGGTCTGTACAAACGAAGTTTCTGGACTTACGTGGTCCGTACTAACGAGGTTTCCACACTAACGTGGTCTGTACAAACGAGGTTTCCACACTAACGTGGTCTGTACTAACGAGGTTTCCACACTAACGTGGTCTGTACTAACGAGGTTTCCACACTAACGTGGTCTGTACTAACGAGGTTTCCACACTAACGTGGTCTGTACTAACGAGGTTTCCACACTAACGTGGTCTGTACAAACGAAGTTTCTGGACTTACGTGGTCCGTACTAACGAGGTTTCCACACTAACGTGGTCTGTACAAACGAGGTTTCCACACTAACGTGGTCTGTACAAACGAGGTTTCCACACTAACGTGGTCTGTACAAACGAGGTTTCCACACTAACGTGGTCTGTACTAACGAGGTTTCCACACTAACGTGGTCTGTACTAACGAGGTTTCCACACTAACGTGGTCTGTACAAACGAAGTTTCTGTACTAACGTGGTCTGTACTAACGAGGTTTCCACACTAACGTGGTCCGTACTAACGAGGTTTCCACACTAACGTGGTCTGTACAAACGAGGTTTCCACACTAACGTGGTCTGTACTAACGAGGTTTCCACACTAACGTGGTCTGTACTAACGAGGTTTCCACACTAACGTGGTCTGTACTAACGAGGTTTCCACACTAACGTGGTCTGTACTAACGAGGTTTCCACACTAACGTGGTCTGTACTAACGAGGTTTCCACACTAACGTGGTCTGTACTAACGAGGTTTCCACACTAACGTGGTCTGTACAAACGAAGTTTCTGGACTTACGTGGTCCGTACTAACGAGGTTTCCGGACTAACGTGGTCTGTACTAACGAGGTTTCCACACTAACGTGGTCCGTACTAACGAGGTTTCTGGACTTACGTGGTCCGTACTAACGAGGTTTCCGTATCAAACTTTGCGTTGCGTTCATTCTTGCATGGGTGTGCGACAGTACATGAATGTGTACATAAATAGGAGACCTTTCACTTCTCAACGTAAGGCCATCTCTCAGGGCCATGCGAGTTGCAGTTAACGTCCCAGACCACAATGGCGACACGGAACAGCGATACGCAGATACCTGCTGAAGGGTCCACTGAGAACCCCCAAACCCTTTACAACATGGCGAAGAAGCAGTGACGTCATTGCTGTCCATCCAATCCTCATTCAACTCAGGACCGCCTCCGTGTTCTAGTGGTAGAGCGTCCGCCCGGAGTTCGATCCCCGGCCGCGTCATACCAAAAGACGTTAAAAGATGGTACTTGTTGTTGCCGTGTCTGGCGCTCGGCATTAAGGGGCTAAAACAAGGACTGGTCGTCTCGGAGTCAGTATACTGTATCTGAGTGGGGTATTCATGTTAAACTGCGGCATGGTATCTCAGTGAGCTAGCACTATAAATCGGCATCAGTCCGGACTAGTACAAGCAGCCACAAACACACGTGCATGCACGTCGCTGTATAAGCGCGATAATCTTGGACGCGACGTTAAACCCAATTTCACCTCACCTCATTCAACTCAGAATATTTCATGAGTATGAGACATAAGGGGACTCGTCTATCACCTTGTGCACTTCGATGATATGCAGTGCGTACGGGAAGAGCCAACCGACTAAATACGTGCGAAAAGGCAAACGACATCATTTGTACGGAAAGAGGCAAAGGGCGTTTATTCGTACATTGTTCCTGATAAATGAGGTGGTCAGTTCGGACGGAATGATGAATACGGAAAGTGACAGATGACGTGCTACCTACCTCGTCATCCACCAGAAGATACGTCTCGACGGAAACGAGGCTGTGACCTCTGGGCAGGGATTCTGCAAATATTCACGTCCACATCCAACAGTATTGAGAAGGATACTTTAGTTTGCGATTCAAGTTGCAGGGGCTTAAAATGCGATTCAAACCACGACTAGCGGATTTGTACATCAAGTGGTGAGGCCCTTGGCAACTTGGTTAAGAGTGCTCAATAATGTCGAGTGAGTGAGTGAGTGAGTGAGTGAGTGAGTGAGTGAGTGAGTTTGGTTTGACGCCGCTTTAAACAGTATTTCAGTCATATCACAGCATCTCAGATTTTTGTGAGAGACAAATCAGATGAAGATATTGGTACTATTTTAACCACATGACTAAAAAGACATCTATTTTACCCTGAAGACCTAAAATGCATTTCTGTTTAGGTAGTCCTTCTAAGCAGATATTAAATTATTGTTTAAATTAAAAAATCCTACCCAATCAAAATATGACCAATACCCATTAGACCCTAATACACAAAAGACAACATCAAGCATATCCTGTATTATACTCAACAACCAATACATGATCTCAGTTGCTTTTTCCCAGAGGGTAAAAATACCCTCGACCCACGAGGATGATCACATACCTCCCCCAAGGGTTCGTAGCCTCTTCTTATTCCAGGCAGATCAGAAACCCAATGGAGTAGGAACTCTATGCAGATCAGCAAAAATTTCAAACCGAACAAAATGAACTTCAACAAGTCGTCTTCATATGTCTGTAATAAAACAAGAACATGCAAATAACAGTCTACAGAATCATAAGAGCGATAACTTCAACTGAACAATCAAGGAAATCATCAGGATTAATATATGTCCAGATTATGAAATGTTTGTTCCTTTCTTTACTGTCGCGCGAGACAATGTTCGAGTCTAGTCCAGGCAAACCAGTGAACAGCGATGACTCGCAATCTACCAAATCACCAAGCCTGACCTCCTGATATTGTTGTCGACATTGACGAACCGCACAGGTTGATAGGAACACATTCTAACCCAGAATACTCACGGGGGACAGATTAAAGAAGTCATTTAAAAAAAACCGTTATAAAGGTTTCCCAGAAGCAATCATCCGGATATTGGGTAGACCCATGTTTCATCATCCGTTACTCATCTCGAATTTGAGTAATTTGACGAAATCCTACTCAGTTAGCTCTACATTGTCTCTGGCAATGTCTGTTCCCTTTTCCTTAAGATCAGAATCCAGAAACTTTCGCACCCAACGAGCTGATATCTTATTCATCTGTAAATGCTCATGAATAATAATTTCATGGCTAAGTCTCTTCCTCAAGTTCATCAATGGTAATACGTCTGTCTGACAGTGTAAGTTTTTCTATCTCCTTGATTGAATCTTCATTGATGGAAGTTGAGGGACGTCCAGACCTCGGATCATCACCAAGGCTTGCTCTCCCAGCCTTAAAAATACCTGCCCAACGTTTAACAATGCAGTCATAAATCTCTTCGGGAGTACTTTTTTCTTAAGTAAAAAACATGATGACTGGCTGTCACTGTCTACAAACGGCCTCAACAGACCAAATACACTTGCAATGAACTACTCAAACAATGCACTACATTGACCAGTTCACTTTATTATGGCTACTATAGCTGAAAGTTAGTCAGGCTCTGACCTTTTTGGCAGGCCTCGCATTACTCCGGACAGGGACGGTAATTCAGGTGCACACGTCCTTTACATACAGGTACCCTCCACCCCCTTTTTTTAAAAAAAGGTGGACTGTATTATAGTGTTATACCAATCTGGCAATGGCAGTGGCGCCTATTTCAACTGCAAGATAGGTAGGATTTATTTGGAATGGTCAACACAAATGTTGGTTGGTTGATTTGTTGTTTAACGCCGCACTCAGCAATATTCCAGCCATATGACGGCGGTCTGTAAATAATCGAGTCTGGACCAGACAATCCAGTGATTAATTTCATGAGCATCGATCCACGAAATTGGGATCGAAGACATGCATCAACCAAGTCAGCGAGCCTGACCACCCGATCCCGTTAGTCGCCGTTACGACAAGCATAGTCGCCTTTTACGGCAAGCATGGGTTGCTGAAGACCTATTCTACCCCGGAATCTTCACGGGTCCAACACGAATGTAACGTCCTAGTATTTAGTGAACAACCGTGAATAGACTGGGAACACATGGGCCAACATACCAACTGTATGTGAGTAGCAAACATTTCTACTGTATAACAGTGACTAGGACAATGAACATTATGATCAATACTGAAAGATAAATATGATATTTCTCTTACGATTACAGCCGAAAATGAGAAATGTCACGTTGAGTGATAGCCGACGTGACTGGAGGCACATTACCATGATACTGGGCTCAGGTAACAAGGGTAATCATCTGTCATCATTGGCGTGTCAGATGTATCCAGTGATACAATTGCGTTGTCATAAATTTCACCAGGCCCTGTAGCATGTTTGTCAGCACCATACACGCCAGAAAACTATTATTGTGGGTTCGAATCCCGGTTTGCCCCGATAATGTTTCTAGGTTTCTCAGCATACCCGTGTTCGTGGGTTACACCGAAGTGGTAAACGTCTGAGACCTGCATCACTTTGGGCTTTGCATCACATCACACGCCGTGATATAACTGGAGTACTGTTAAAAGCGGCGTTAAACCCAACTCACTCATTCACTCATATCACTGGAAATGATGAATGAATCAGGAATGTTTCCGGAGATTTGACTTAAAGGAAATTGATACAGTGATTCTGTAATATCTGAAACAATTTCCAAATAGGGACATACAGATCTAACACAATTTCACCATTGTTCTGTGTATCCACAACTACATTTATTTGTTTGTTTGTTTTTTTAATTTGTTGTTTAACGCCGCATTCAGCAATATTCAAGCTATATTACAGCACACAGCAAATAACCGAGTCTGGACTAGACAATCCGGTGATTGACATCATGAGCATCCATCCACGCAAATGGGATACGATGACATGCATCAACCCGGTCAGAGAGCCTGACCACCCGATCCCGTTCGTCGCCACTTACGACAAGCATGGGTTGCTGAAGACCTATTCTACCCCGCATATTCATAGATCAACTACATACATAATCAGGTGCTGGACTACATGTGTCATGAAAAACACATAGCATCAAATTCAACATCTCTAACAATACAAATCACAATAGCCATTGTGCATTAAAATAACTGAATTCTTTGTGTTGTTACACCCAACAAATTTTGACTGGACATGTTTCCCCCCAGGAATATAGAGTGAGTGAGTGCCGCTTTTAGCATTATTCCAGCAATACGAGTAAAAGGATGGGGAACGGACGGGTAAAAAGACGAATACAAGGATGGGGAACGGACGGGTAAAAAGACGAGTGAAAGGATGGGGGAACGGACGGGAAAAAAAAGGGGTGTAAACGGATGGGAAAACGGACGGGTAAAAAGACGAGTAAAAGGATGGGGAAACGAACGGGTCGAAAGACGAGTAAAAGGATGGGGAAACGGACGGGTAAAAAACGAGTAAAAGGGGCGGGGGGGGGGGGGGGGGGGGGGAACGGACGAGAAGAAAGACGAGTAAACGGATTGGGAAACGAACGAGTGAAAAACGAGTAGAAGGATTTGGAAACGGACGGGTAAAAAGAGGAGTAAAAGGATGGGAAATGGACGGGTAAAAAGACGAATAAAAGGATGGGGAAACGAACAGGTAGAAAGACGAGTAAAAGGATGGGAAAACGGACGGGTAAAAAGACGAGTAAAAAGGACGGGGAAACGAACGGGTAGAAAGACGAGTAAAAAGGATGGGGAAACGAACGGGTAAAAGGAGGAGTAAAAGGATGGGGAAACGAACGGGTAGAAAGTCGAGTAAAAGGATGGGAAAACGGACGGGTAAAAAGAGGAGTAAAAGGATGGGGAAACGGACGGGTAAAAAGAGGAGTAAAAGGATGGGGAAACGGATGGGTAAAAAGACGAGTAAAAGGACGGGGGAACGGACGGGTAAAAAGACGAGTAAAAGGACGGGGGAACGGACGGGTAAAAAGACGAGTAAACGGATGGGGGAACGTACGAGTTGAAAGACGAGTAAAAGGATGGGGAACGGACCGGTAAAAAGACGAGTAAACGGATGGGGAAACGGACGGGTAAAAAAACGAGTAAAAGGACGCGGAAACGGATGGGTAAAAAGACGAGTAAAAGGACGGGGGAACGGACGGGTAAAAAGACGAGTAAACGGACGGGGGAACGGACGGGTAAAAAGACGAGTAAACGGATGGGGGAACGGACGGGTAAAAAGACGAGAAAACGGATGGGGAAATCGACGGGTAAAAAGACGAGAAAACGGATGGGGAAATCGACGGGTAAAAAGACGAGTAAACGGATGGGGAAACGAACGGGTAAAAGGAGGAGTAAAAGGATGGGGAAACGAACGGGTAGAAAGACGAGTAAAAGGATGGGGAAACGGATGGGTAAAAGGAGGAGTAAAAGGATGGGGAAACGAACAGGTAGAAAGACGAGTAAAAGGATGGGGAAACGGACGGGTAAAAAGATGAGTACAAGGATGGGGAAACGGACGGGTAAAAAGAGGAGTAAAAGAATGGGGGAACGGATGGGTAAAAAGACCAGTAAAAGGACGGGGGAACGGACGGGTAAAAATGAGTAAAAGGACGGAGGAACGGACGGGTAAAAAGACGAGTAAAAGGATGGGGAAATGGATGGGTAAAAAGACGAGTAAAAGGACGGGGGAACGGACTGGTAAAAAGACGTGTAAAAGGATGGGGAAACGGACGGGTAAAAAGAGGAGTAAAAGGATGGGGAAACGGGCGGGTAAAAAGACGTGTAAAAGGATTGGGAAACGGACGGGTAAAAAGACGTGTAAAAGGATGGGGAAACGGACGGGTAAAAAGACGTGTAAAAGGATGGGAAAACGACCGGGTAAAAGACGAGTAAAAGGATGGGGAAACGGACGGGTAAAAAGACGTGTAAAAGGATGGGAAAATGGACGGGTCAAAAGGCGTGTAAACATATTTTGACAAATATTCTTTAAAAAAAATTGAAAACAGAACATTCTGGAATGGCTGATAGATGTCCTAGATTGTATAGGATCCTCTATTGTAAGCCGGTAACTACCGTTAGGAATACCCCGTGTTAAACTCTTCAGATTCAGATTCTTTATTACAGTATAAAGGCCAAAGGCCCATAATACATGCTTGATTTTATTAACATGTACTGCGCTTACGCTAATATAAAGGCTTATATACAATCATATGCAAGAAAGTGTGGTACATGTTTAAAATGTTGACAACAGTTGTTTAACATTGAGACATTTTCTTTCATTGAACTATAAATATCACTCATCATTTAGAGTACCGTTCCGTGTTTATAAACTTTATGTAAATACTGACAAGTATCATGAATAACATAATTAATTATCTGATGACCTAAACCTTTTGTAAGAAAGTGTGGTACATGTTTCAAATATTACTAAAGGTTGTTCAACATTATAAATAGTATGTTTGAGTGAACTATAAATATCACTCATCCTTTAAGAGTGCAGCTCTGTGCTTATAAACGTTATGTAAATACTGACAAGTATCATGAATAACATAATTATATGATGACAGAATACTTATTCAAGAAAGTGTGGTACATGTTTCAAATGTTGACAACAGTTGTTTAACATTGAACATTATGTTTAAATGAACTATAAATATCACTCTTCCTTTAAGAATGCAATTCTGTGTTTTATAAACTTTATGTAACTACTGACAAGTATCATGAATAACGTTATACTTATCTGATGACATAATACTTATAAACGCCTGTAATGAGGCTGATCTGAAGTACTTAACAATGTACATACTTCTTAAGGTATCACACTGTTTACACGCAAGTATTACATGATGTTCATCTTTAATAGATGAAATACCTTCCTTGAGACAAAAAGGGCACAATCGCATTAAGTATTCAATATTATTATAACGTCCCGTTTCTGTTGCAAGTCCATAATTACCACATCTAAATCTTGACATGGCTGTCCTGATAGATAAAGATAGATTATAGGATAGATACAATTCAACATTGAGTAATGACTTAAACTGCCTATAATAATATGTCTTTGAAGAACTACCTAGTTCTGCAACCCATTCTTGATGGAGATTATCAAACAATCTCTGCTTGAATGTTGAAATAAATGTATCAGTATGACCCACATCCTGTGCAACCCAAACAAATCCAAATCCAAATTGAAACAGAATATGTTTTATATGTCTGACCCAATTTACTCTTCCACTCTCATCCTGTGATAACATCATGCTATAACATTGAAATGGTAATCTATTGTCATTTATATTAATAAGTTTAGTCCAATATTTAACTGCTCTTGTCACATAAATATACTGGAGAGGAATTCTTCCACCTTCCCCTAGAACCATATAATTTGTAGTACTTTTACCAAATTTAAGTATCCATTTACATAACTCTACTGTACACGTTCAACTCTCCTACAGTAATTCACACCCCATATCTCTGCACCATAACAAAGAATGGGTACAACTGTAGGATCAAATATTTTAAACAAATCTTTACATGATAAATTACCAAATTTCCTGGTTGCATGAATAGAAAACACATTCCGACACATTCCGATCTGGAAAGCGACGCTCTGATTGGTCGGTTGAAAGGTCGTTCTGACATGAACCCTCATGGGATATCCTCAGATCTTTGTTTAGCCGCAGCGAGAAACGAGATCTGATTTTAATGAGAGGAAAAGATTTTTACAATTATTTCTCTGAAGTGTTGCATTCTCACCTTCAGCATCATGTACGTGTAGAAGGGGACTACAGATGAGATCATCACGAATGTCCAGAATACGAACAAGATGCCCGATGTGAACACACCTCTAACTCGGTCTAACTGAGTCAAACTAATCGCCAGCGCCTGTCAAAAAACAAGAAACGTATGTTAGTAAAAACAACCACAAGGTTAAAAGTAAAACGTGGGATAAATAAATATTGTCTCTGAAAAAATGCAATCACGAGCATCTTCGTCATAAATCCTTTGTTTGAAGCGATTGACACTCAGTGGGTGAGTGAGTGAGTGGGTTGCGTTTAACGCCGCTTTTAACAGTATTCCAGTTATATCACGGCGTGTCAGCTTAATGTTGGAGGAAAGCCCGAAGGGATGCAGGTCTCAGACGTTTACCACTTCGGTGAAACCAACGAGCACGGGTATGGTGCTGACAAACCTAGAAACATAATTGGGGCAAACCGGGATTCGAACCCACAATCATAGGTTTTTGGCGTGCCCAGGGGACGCAACTCTGCACAGCGAATCGCGGCGCCTTAGACGACTGGGCCACTCAGTAGATGAAGGTGGACTGATATTTCGGCTACGAATTGACTAGTGCAACGCTGATCCGTCGACATCTATGTGATTGATTGTTGTTTAACGCCGCACTCAGCAATATTCAAGCTACTTGACGGCAGTCTGTAAATAATCGCGTCTGGACCAGACAATCCAGTGATTGACATCATGAGCATCGATCCACGTCACCGCTTACGACAATGACATCTATGTTACAGTCGCAAAACAGTCACGTAAATGTATTGTAATACGTAATCGCGATATTACAACTGAGCTTCTGACATATTACCTGAATTGTTCGTTTAACGCCGCACTCAGCAGTATTTAAGCTGTATAAGACGGCGGTCTGTAATAATAGAACCTGGACCAGACAATCCAGTGATTGTTATCGTGATTAACGACCAATGCTGTCGAGATTGGTGACGAGACATCGAATAATTCACCGCGTCTAAGATAACACCGCGATTTTATCACAGATATACTGAGATACACCCGCGATACTACCGCGGTAAAACTAAAATAACACCGCGATATTATCACAGAGATATGGAGATACACTCGCGATACTACCGCAGTTCAACTAAAATAATACCGCGATATTATCACTGAGATACGGAGATACCCCCGCGATACTACCGCGGTAAATCTTGCATAATACCGCGATTTTATCACCGACATACGGGGACACTTTCTATATGACAGACCTGCTGCGAAACTGCCGCGAAACTGCCGCGAAGCGGCCACGACATTACCGTGCTATTTGCAAATCAATGCCCTCCGTTGTGAGGTATTAATACTGCCACAAAACTTATGCTGACGTTTGCTTGTTTTCTTCAGTTTTGGCCTAACAACAAATTCTATCCATTTGGGCAATAATAACGGTAACTCTGTTTTTAATGGCATTATCATTTGCAGAAGCCCTCGGTCTCTTTAACTGCCCGTCACGCAGTTAGCAAATCATAATATCCTGAAAAATAACGTAACACTTATAATACCACAATGAGACTACTGAGATACCCATTCCCACTACCCCATCCCTCCGACTCCACGACGAGATAATAAGCGACATTACCAGGGAGCGACTAATGACAACACCGTATTCCGTATCTACTTCTTTGCTGTACTACTGCAGAACGGCCTGTGAAGATCCGGGATAGAATAGGTCTTCAGCAACCCATGCTGGCCGAAAAGGACGACTATGCTTGTCGTAAAAGGCGACTAACGGGATTCGGTAGTCAGGCTCGCTGATTTGGTAGATGCATGTCATCGATCCTAATTGCGTGGATCGATGCTCATGATATCAATCACTGGATTGTCTGGTCCAGACTCGATTATTTACAGACCGCCGTCATATAGCTGGAACATTGCTGAGTGTGGTGTAAAACAGCCGACCAATCAATCAATGCAACTGCGGAGCAACTGCGATATATTTCTAGCATATTACTACGGAAATACTGAGACAAAGCAGAGATACTACCGTGGTGCTACGAATATATTACCGCGACACTATCGTGGAAATACTGAAATACTATTGCGATACTATTACGGAATACTGAAATACTATCGCGATACTATAACGGAATACTGAAATACTATCGCGATACTATAACGGAATACTGAAATACTATCGCGATACTATAACGGAATACTGAAATACTATCGCGATACCACAATGGAATACTGAAATACTATCGCGATACCACAATGGAATACTGAAATATGTACTATCGCGATGTTACAAAAGAATTACTGAGACACTACCGTGACTATACTGAGACACTAACTCGATATTACCACGGGACTACCATTACGCTTCAATCGTGCTACCGTTGTACCGTTGTACCGTGGTACCGCGGTACCGTGCTACCGTTGTACCGCGGTACAACTGAGATACCACCATCACGAATGTTGCGACTCTTTCTGCAATCGTCATCCTTGAAAAGAGATACGAGAACCTGCCTCGGCAAAACAGTTTGGTGACAGTGAGTGAGTGAGTATGGTTTTACGACGCTTTTAACAATATTCCAGCAATATCACCAGAACACCAGAAATGGACTTCACACATTGTACCCATGTCGGGATTTGAACCCGGGTCTTCGGCGTGACGAGCGAACGCTTTAACCACTAGGCTACCCGACCGCCCCAGTTTGGTTTAACGTTGAATGACTAAACATTTTTATCAAAAGCAAAAACCTTAAACATATATATATCGACACAAAGGCTAAACCAGAGCAAGACAAAATTTTCACTAAAATATCGGTGAATAGTTTACTTACAAACGTGAGTGCCTCCACAAGGTGCCCTGTAAACATAGCCCATGGAGTTGTGTCTCCATAAGTCTCCAATCCCGCCAGGTGAGCCATATTCAATACACCAAGCATGATTAAGAACACAGCGCATAGCTGAAATGAAAGAGTGAGTGTGTGAGTTGGGTTTAACGCCGCTTTTAACAATATTCCAGTTATATCACGGCGTGTCAGCTTAATGTGGGAGGAAAGCCCGAAGAGATGCAGGTCTCAGACGTTTACCACTTCGGTGAAACCCACGAGCACGGGTATGGTGCTGACAAACCTAGAAACATAATCGGGGCGAACCGGGATTCGAACTCCACAATCATAGATTTCTGGAGTGCCCAAGGGACGCAACTCTGCACAGCGAATCGCGGCGCCTTAAATGACCGGGCCACCCGTGCCCCCTAGGCCTGAAATGAAAGAAAATCCACATGTACGTGAATGAGACAGAAGGATACATTTTAAACATGCATGATACACTACAGTAAACTACGGTTATAATGAACTCAGAGGGAACACTTCTTTTAGTTCGTAATATCCGTAGTTCGTTATAAGCATATATACAGCATTTATACAACAAATGGTCGGGACTGAAAAATAAGTTCGTTATATCGGTCAGTTCGTAATATACGTGTTCGTTATAGCCGTAGTTTACTGAATATATTTTCTCATGCAAATGTCACTGACCATTCATATTATAGACGCCAAAAGGTGTACTCATAGAATGATATATATAAATATGACAGAGCAAGTGTTACATATCTGCAAAACAGGCTCTCTTCACCTTCGTAATATTGGCCGAATAAGAGGTATCTCGATGAAGAGATTTGGGTTCAACGCCGACAGTATTCCAGTTATATCGCGGCGTGTCAGCTTAATGTGGGAGGAAAGCCCGGATGCAGGTCTCAGGCGTTTACCACTTCGGTGAAACCAACGAACACGGGTATGGTGCTGACAAACCTAGAAACATAATCGAGGCAAACCGGGATTCGAACCCACAACCATAGTTTTCTGGCGTTCCCAAGGGATCAAATTCAATGGTCACGGCACATACAGCAGAGCTCCAGATAACGTTTTGAGCAATTGAGTTTTTTACTCTTGGGGTTCTATCTTAATTTGGGTTATTACATTTTTCATTGGGTAACAAATATTTTTTTCACTCATCTATTCATCACTCTGTTGCGTTTTTCGCAAAATTAGTGAACATTTTAGGATTTGAAAAAAATGAAATAATGTTTTAGATGTATAGAACTGTTCTAAATAGATAGGACGCGGAAAGTAAATTAATGAGGTCGTAATTGTGTTTCGGAAATTAGCTGAATTTGGTATTTATGCATGCTGTTTTTATACATTTGAGTTTTTATTTAATGTATGTACGCAAGTTAATTCAAGGTAATTGGGTTTTGAATATATTTTTTATTTTTTTTATTTATTTATTTATTTATTTATTTTTTTGGGGGGTGGGGTGGTATTTAACACAAATACGCTTCTTATCTGTTGCTCTGCATACAGAATACTTCAGTCGGAAAACCATACCCAAAACATATTATATCACTCCAGTTCTGAAACGACACAATTTCTTGCCTGTGTCATCACGAATCAACTTCAAGCTGCTCTCTCTTGCCTAACGATAACGTGACAACGAAACTCCAGCCTATCTCTTATTACCACCTTACCGTCCAACGCGTTCGCTACGATCCAAAGACACAATACCCATTTCAAAAACACAGGTAGTAACCACTTATGGAAACAGATCTCAAAGTGGAAATAAAAATAAAACAATCCCCAAACTAATCAAGTTTTGAGAGCCAGATAGCAACATTCCTTTAAAGTCAGGTTTTCCCCTGAACTGAATCTTGACTCTTGACTCTTTCAACAAGCGCCCAGAGCGCACTGTACTGTGTGAACGTTGGCGCTATCATCATCATCATCAACATCAACATCATCATCATCATCATCAGTATCATTATTATTATAATCGAAAAAAATATGAGGGTCCTAAAAAGCTCTGATTACTCGTTTGCTGGATTAATAACATTATCATCATTATCATTATGTACATATTAAATTATAAAATGCAGCAAAGAGGGTTTGGGTGATCCTGGCACAGTCAGGCTCAGGGGCCTTGCCCCCTCAAACCAACCCAGAACTTTTCGGAGCATGTGAAGACTCCCCAACACTGCAGCCTTCTGCATTACCCAGATTGTCAGAAAGGCTGTATTCCCGGTAACAAACCCGGGTACTCTACCAATGTTAGTCAACAGATTCGGGGGTACCAAACCTAAGGCATCGAGAACGATAGGGCGTCGGATAACTTGGTACTTGGGATGCAAGCGTCATTATCATTATTATTATGACTTTTATTGTTAAAATCGAATAAGGAATTAAGGCCCAAAAGCTCTGATTATTTGTTTGCTCAATCAATATCTGACTGAGGTGAGGTGGGTGACGTGAAATGGGGTTTAACGTCACGTCCAAGATTATTGCACTTATATAGCGACGTGCATGTACGTGTGTGTTTGTGTGGCTGCTTGTACTAGTCCGGACGTACTGATGCCGATTTATAGTGCTAGCTCACTGAGATACCATGCCGCAGTTTAACATGACACAGTATACTGACTCCGAGCCGACCAGTCCTTGTTTTAGCCCCTTAATGCCGAGCGCCAGACAGGGTAACAACAAGTACCATATTTTAACGTCTTTTGGTATGACCCGGCCGGGGATCGAACCCCGGACCTTCCGCTCTCCGGGTGGACGCTGTACCCCTAGACCACGGAGGCGGTTCTAATATCTGACTGAAATCACACCCTGTATTCGGGTGAGCTAAGCACTCACTGTTTTCATGAAGTTCAAGGCAGAGAAAGGGAGTTTCCTCTTCCGTGGCTTGGAGAAGGTGTAGGGCACATAGACGACGGTAGCCATCCACAGGTAGGCACATGGCGCCCATACTACAAGTGTAGACCGGAAACATGACGTCAGTTCCGGCCAGGTGTTGTTTTGAAGCAGTGACTGATTCTGAAGTAGAATAATCATATATGATCAAGTATATAGGAGTGAAGACCGTCGTAGCGAAACATGTAACGTACGTTTGTGTTAAACTGTGGGTGTTACGCCTGCCGTAGCCTAAAGAATGACGTACATCTGTTTTAAAGTATGGGTTTTAAGACAATCGTTTTAAAGTACTTGTGTTATACAATCGCAGCACAACACATGACGTACGTTTGTTTTAAAGTACTTGTGTTATACAGTCGTAGCAGAACACATGACGTCCGTTTGTTTTAAAGTACTTGTGTTATAAAATCGTAGCACAACACACGACGTACGTTTGTTTTAAAGTACTTGTGTTATACAATCGTAGCACAACACCCGACGTACGTTTGTTTTAAAGTACTTGTGTTATACAATCGTAGCACAACACACGACGTACGTTTGTTCTACAGTACTTGTATTATACAATCGTAGCACAACACATGGCGTACGTTTGTTTTAAAGTACTTGTGTTATAAAATCGTAGCACAACACACGACGTACGTTTGTTTTAAAGTACTTGTGTTATACAATCGTAGCACAACACCCGACGTACGTTTGTTTTAAAGTACTTGTGTTATACAATCGTAGCACAACACACGACGTACGTTTGTTCTACAGTACTTGTATTATACAATCGTAGCACAACACATGGCGTACGTTTGTTTTAAAGTACTTGTGTTATACAATCGTAGCACAACACATGACGTACGTTTGTTTTAAAGTATGGGTGTTAAGACAATCGTAGCACAACACACGACGTACGTTTGTTTTAAAGTATGGGCCTTACAGTAATCGTAGCATAAAGAGTGACGTTGGTTTGTTTTAAAGTAAGGATGTTACGACAATCTGAGGACGACGAATAACTTGTTTGATAGGCATTACTTACAGTGGAGCAGCAGGTGTCACCTATTGAGGGGGGTACCCAAACCAGCATAACCACATTTTCTCGTGTGGTAAAATTTGATGCCCTGTTATTACTGATTCTGAAAACCCATGATGAAATTCTGTCAAATGATGGCATTTCGAAAAAAAATGATTTTTTTCAGCCCTACCCCTAAGCTGGTTATAATTAAGGATCATTTTGTCTATGTTTTCGACGGGCATATCAGTTGTAAGTACACTTGTTTACATCATTTATTGGGTTTACTCATGAAGCAGCAGTACAAGATAATCTTACCAGTTAATTTAAAGATCAGTTAGCAAAATATATTTAGTTTTATTTGAACGATATTAGAACAAACTAAAACATTTGAATCTATTATTAGATATTTAATTCACAAAAGGAAAACATGGTTTGATCAACCACAAATGTCAGTGTTCAATACATGCAATGTTTCATTTCTTGTTCCTCCCAAACACACATCATAGTGCCATCATGATAAAGACATTTTGTTAAATTTATTAAATTTATATATCAACCACAACTATCATCTGTGAACCATCCTTGTACCAGATACTGAATGCTAGAAAAACGTTCATGCTGTCACCGAAAACATATTGTTATGGTGTCAATATTCCGCTCTCTCACGATTAAGGGCTCAGTCACACATTGAGGATTTTTACTGCCTTCCTTGATAGGACCATTCCCGATTAAAATTTGTCAAAAATCTGATCAAGATCCTGTGATTCGTGGCGAGAAATTCACAAACAATCAGAAGCGTCCCGCTTTCCAGCCGAATTCGCCCCGCTTCTCCCGTTCTCAATCCGAATCTTCCACATGGTAAAAACACCGACCAAATCTGTCCCGACAGCATCCCAATTCTCCCAAATGTGATCCGACAGAGATCAGACAGTGACCGGACAGTGAACCGACAAAGACGGTTCGCATTCGGCAAGATCTGGACGCAATCTGGACTCAATCGACAAGAAACAACAATGAAGAATGCATGCCCGTTCATCAGGACAGCGTTCCGATCCACAGGTCACCGTCCAGACTACACAGGACATTGTTACGATTTTTATTCGATACAGCAGAATCTGTCACGACAGTCACGATTGTAAACCGACTAGACAAAATCGGCTGAGTTTCCCGAATGTCACGGGACGCACCATGCTGTCAGGAGTGCTTGGCCGACCTCTCTGGTCTCAGCCAATGATAGGACATTCAGATCATTGAGGACTGTAATCTGACTTTTTCACTTTTCGTGTCGTAGCGCTGTCTGATCTCAAACGGGAACCATAATCGGCACTGTGTGAACCTGGCCTTATACTGAGTCAGACTCTGACGTATCGCTATCTATTGCAGAAAGCGTCAGGGGATTTGCCCAGAACAATCCATCTTCATCTACCAAGGATGTACAGTCAGAGGCCACAGTACATGGTTGTCCATTGTCCAAGCATGAACATTCTGCTCCACATCCATCAGGATGACACTCGCATACAACGTCATTTAGCAGCTCATGGGCAGCTGGTGACTGATTCATCATGTTGGGCTGGAGTCCAGGGCCATCGGAGCTTCTTTCATGTCCATGTGTAGTAGCATGAGGAAGTGTTGCCATAGGTACAGCGTCCTGTCTCCATACCAGAAGCTGGTAAGAACAAGGAAATGAAGATGGAAGGCACCTCCAATTGGTGGAAGTTTCTTTCCCAGAATGTTCTTCTTGCCTGTCTTTTCACAATGAAGTGCATTTAGCGAAGCACCGTTTGCCTTGCCATACATTTCATGTATAATTGTGTTACTTTATGTGGGATCAAGCCTTCCTCAAGGCCCAACAGACCAAGAGATTGAAACTGACCAGCCTTCTGCATCATTAGGTGGTAGGCAGTACTCTTTCCATGTCCAAAGAAAGAGCTCACAGTATCACATCCAGTCAGACTGTGGACTGATAGTAGGATCGTCTGTTGATCCATGCTGAGCAGATCATATATTGTGTGCACAGGGATATAGCGGGTCAGTTGGGTGTGTTTCCCATCATGACCTGGCCGACGGTGTACAAATAGGACAGGGACATCTGTGTCAGGGCTTTGCACCACAATCGCCTGAGCGCTATCTTCTGCTGAAGCTATTGCATGGAGTATCCTTGTATCTGCTACTTCTTGGTATGAGAACTTGGAGTCAACCTCTATCATGCCTTCATGTGTGATAGATACACATTTCTCACCCTGACTGCCACTGACACCTAATCTGCCCTTTCCTCAATAGTGTACATTCCATCATATATACTGAGTGTAGTATTGTGCCAAGTTTGTTTTGTTTTTACCCTTACTTAAGAACTGTTTCCAGTTCTGAGAGATAGCAACATCAGCTTTCACATGGTAGAGATGGCCTTGATCTTCTTCTCTCTTTGAACGGGTCTGGCCTTTGATGCTGTCATCCATGTACTTATCAAAGACGATGTGTATCTGCTGGACATCATTTGCTGAGAGTGTGGTGCTGTTGTAAATGACATACCCCATGAAGTGCTCAGTCATGTTCCTGAAAGACATGCTGCCTGTGTGGATAGGTACACCTACCATATGTATTTGTGCATGCCCATCACACACTAGAGCATGACATCTTTGGATTGCTGTCACCTTATCACCCAGTATGCGTTCTTCTAACATGGAATCTGACTTGGCACAATACATCATGATACCATCCTCTGTAAATAGGCTCAATGACACTGGAGCATTTTCAAAGGACAGAACTCACTTAAGAAGCACCTTTTTTGCATTCACGGCAATCACTCTGAGGTACATCACCTCTCCATCGACAGTCACATCTTTGTTGTGTACTATCACTTTTTGCCGCATGTCTGACATGGTCTTGAATCCTGAACTTGGGACTGCATCACATAGGCTCTTCTTGGGAACACCATCTCCTTGAGGTGATATGAAGCGATAAGCAATGAAAGTTGATACCATAGTGGCATCCTTTGATAAGGCATTGCACATGCTGTCTTCGATTGGTGGTGGTGCCACTGCTCCAGCTGCGAAGTTCACCAGATGAGTAGAAGTCTCTGCAGATAGCTCAAACGGATCAATGCAGGCTCCATCAAATATCTGTATCCCACGTCTTCTGTGCGGCTCTTCCACCTGTATGGTGCTGAGGCTGTCTGTTTGTGTCAACCTGGCCAGCATGACAGACAACATCTCGGGAACATTGTGGAGTACTGTGCAGTCATGGGACGAGCCAGACACCATTTTGCACGTGCTGGACCTCGTAGCGCCAAGCCAATAATCCCTCCTTCCCCTTTCAGAGCCTTGTTTTCTGTTGTCTCCAGGAGTATAGACCATCCAGACAACATTACACAGCTTTGCAACAAACTCTCCATCTTCAAATCCTGCTACCACCTCTGCTGGTAGCCTGTTCATCATCATCAGTGAGACTGGCAAGTAGGGGGAGTAGTTCGTACGGTTGGTTACAAACAAGAGGGGCAAGAACTCGTCTTTTATATCCTCGTTCTCATGCCAAAGTCCATTCCTGGTTGTGCTCCAAAAGACCTTCAATGGAAGCACCACTTTCACCAAGAAGTCATCCTAGGGTTTGAAAGTGGGTGATGTGGACCTGTCGTGGTCTCGGAAAAGCTGTATGAGTGTAGATAGTCTGGTTGTGATGACGGCTGTGAGCTATGCAATGACATCAGCCATCGGTTCTTGATAACAAGTGCTCGATGGAAATCTTTTCTCGAAAACATGTGTTCTACACTGCCTGCAGCATACACCCGATTCGTGTAGAAGCTGTTTCAAGCCAGCATCCCCATACAGGTAACAACTTGCTGAAAAGACTGACATCAATAGGTGCATCCCGCCTTCACATGGTATGACACCCCTTAAGTCATCTGGTATGGATCAAGCTATTTCATAGGCCTTGGTGAGCAGTCCCATATCAAAATACACTGGGGGGCACGGGTGGCCCAGTCGTCTAAGGCGCCGCGATTCGCTGTGCAGAGATGCGTCCCCTGCACACGCCAGAAACATATGATTGTTGGTTCGAATCGCCCCGATTAGGTTTCTAGGTTTGTCAGCACCATTCCCGTGCTCGTGGGTTTCACCGAAGTGGTAAACGTCTGAGACCTGCATCACTTCGGGCTTTCCTCCCACATTAAGCTGACACGCCGCGATATAACTAGAATACTGTTAAAAACGGCGTTAAACCCAACTCACTCACTCACTCAGTCAGTCAAAATACACTGGGTCATAGTGCTGACCTAGGGAATTGATTGCTTCCTTTGTTCTCCTAAGTGTTGTGTACACAGTCAATAGATCAGTTTGTGGCTATTGGGATAGGGTTGAATGCCACAGTTAAAACTACAGGTGAGTTCTCTGCCTCCATTCGAACTTGGAACAGACCCCACGAAGGAACAGTATTTTGTGGCTTTTTTGCTAAAGAAAATTTGAGCCTTGTTGATATTGTGCTTATTTCAGGTTGCATTTTGTGTTTTGCAGATATAATAGGAAAACATGTATAATTTGGCTAAAATCTAATAATTTTTCATAATTATATGCTCTATACAATCTAGATACATTTGGTCTGCAAATCTAGCAGAATTAGGACACCCATATGTCTCAACAACAACAAAAAAGATTTTAGAAAATAGAAATATGTACAAAAGATGCAAAAATATCCTATTCTTAGCATTTTCTTTATAAAATCACCATAAAATTTACAATAATGCTAAATGTTGTTCCGAAATCACAGGAAGTATTCATGTATACCCCCTCTTGAATGGGAAAATCAATTAGCAATGTTAAATAGTCTGTGTAGACAAATACATTCAGATAGTTTCATGTCGGAACACACACGTAAACGCGTGACCTGCTTGGGAGTAGTTGGTAAGAAAGTAGCAATTTCTTGAAACGCCATCATTTTTTTGGAATGCCATCATGAGTTTTCATTAACAGTAGTGATAGAACATCAATTCTTACCACATTAGAAAATGTGGTTATGCTGGTTTGGGTATCTCAAAAACTAAGGCACTTTTAAGGACACTGTTGCTCCACTATTAGAAGTTGACGGGTGACAAGGTAGACACAATTTATGGCTAACAACTTTTTTAAGACTGTAAAAAGCGACGTTTCCGTATAGAGCCTTATACCGTTGTCAAGCAGGACTGAATGAGGGACAAAGTACAGAATATATATAGCAGGTGGAGGATTAACTGTAGAGGAATAACAGTAACAACAATAGCATACATGAGTGGGATTAACAGTAACAACAATGATAAAACTATTAGAATGATTAATTTTATCGTTGGGATCATATTTATCTCAATATTCAAAATGGTCACCAACGATGTAGGATTTAAGGTATACTCAACTACAAAAGAAACGCACATGCCGTATAAGTTTGAAGGGTTATATCTTGGAAACTATATGAACTGGAAAGATATTTTTTTGTAGGTGATTAAAGCTAAAATGTTGAATTTAACAAATCTATTCGTAACGACCAAAATTGATCATGCTAAAAGTATTAAACATTGATCCCACTCATGCATGCTGTTGTTGTTACTGTTAATCCTCTACCGTTAATCCTCCACCTACTATATATATTCTGTACTTAGTCCCTCATTCCCCGTGTGCGACATACGCTTGCAGTCGGAAAGCGCACGTTAAATCTCCAATATAAGTAAGTACCCTCATTCAGTCTTGCTTGACAACGGTATAAGGATCTTCTACCGAAACGTCGCTTTTTACAGTATTCAGGAGGTGAGGTGAAATGGGGTTTAACGTCGCGTCCAAGATTATTGCACTTATATAGCGACGTGCATGCACGTGGGTGTGTGGCTGCTTGTACTAGTCCGATCTGATGCCGATTTATAGTGCTAGCACGCTGAGATACCATGCCGCAGTTTAACATGAATACCCCACTCAGACACAGTATACTGACTCCTAGCCAACCAGTCCTTGTTTTAGCCCCCTAATACCGAACGCCAGACAGGGTAACAATAAGTACCATCTTTTAACGTCTTTTTGTACGACGCGGCTGGGGATCGAACCCCGGAACTTCCGCACTCCGGGCGGACGCTCTACCATTAGACCACGAAGGCGGTCAAGTATTAAGGAAGTTGTTATCCATAAATTGTGTCTACCACGAATAATGTACGTTTGGTTTAAATAATGGGTGTTACGACAATCATTGCATAACACATGACGCACGTTTGGGTGTTACGACGATCTTAACGCAATGAATGATGTGCGTTTATGTTAATTTTGGTGTTACGACAATCGTGCCATTAACTTTTTGTTCATGATAAATCACGGCATTATCGGGGAAATTATAAAGACAATTATTTTCCTTTTGATTATAAATGGTACCGTAAGATTTTGAAACTACGGATTTTGTGAAATCCACGAACATTTCAGTAATTTCATATTCGTCAGCAATTTCAAGCAATCCGTAACATATTAGGTATTCTATGAATTCACTTAACATAATGACCAGTTAATTCGTGCGATTTCTGAATGACCTTTGACATGTTCAATCGTGACATTTTGGGTAGTTCATCTCATATATTACCACGATTAGCTGACTTGGTTGATGCATGCCATTTTTGCAATCGTTGAAGCTGTTACGCTTTCGTTATCTTTTGTCAGCTTGGAGTGAGTGAGCTTTTAACATTATTCTAGTTACATCACGGCGTTTCAGCTTAATGTGGAAGGAAAGCCCGAAGTGATGCAGGTCTCAGACGTTTATCACTTCAGTGAAACCCACGAGCACGGGTATCGTGCTGACAAACCTAGAAACATAATCGGGTTGAACCGGGATTCGAACCCACAATCATAGGTTTCTGGCGTGTCGAGGGGACGCAACTCTGCACAGCGAATCGCAGTGCCTTAGACGACTTGGACACCCGAGCACCCTTGTCAGCTTGGAAGCGTGTCCATGCAGAATACATGATGTCTATTTAGTGTAAGTGAGGTTGTGTTTGCATCTGGAGTTACTCTTTAATTCGTCCTTGACCCGTGAAGATCCTGAGTAGAATAGGTCTTCAGCAACCCATGCTTGCCGTAAAAGGCGACTATGCTTGTCGTAAGAGGCGACTAACGGGATCGGGTGGTTAGGCGCGCTGACTTGGTTGATGCATGTCATTGAATCCCCATTTCGAGTATCGATGCTCATGATGCCAATCACTGGATTGTCTGGTCCAGACTCGATTATTTACGGACAGCCGTCATATAGCTGGAATATTGCTGAGTGCGGCGTTAAACAACAAACAAACAAAGTTTATAATTATGTTCTTTGGAGCATTTGCGATTTGTCCTCCAACTCTTGTTGCTATTGCAGTTGCACTTAATTAAGTGCTGACCACCAGAAACAGACCTACTGTGGGCCTAGACATGACAATCGTTGAGTCGCTAGTGTTGGTGTTCACAAGAATGGGTCGGAGCAAGTCGAATTATTTTATAATTCACAACAAAACCTCTTCTTGTTATTTTTTTTATCGATAATGGAACTCGACATATACTTTCTTTTGCCGCCCAGTTTATTAGCGTACACTATGTGGTTGGATTAATATTTCTCCTGGTTAAACGGGTTCACCCTCAGACCAGAGCAATGCTTGCCATACGAGACGACAGACTGGATGGACTGGCCTGTTGTGTTACGTGTAACCGTGTACATCGGATTGGAGCCGTTTGAAGAGATGCAGGTGTCAAGTAGGCCAGGTGAGCTAACAATGTTCTGATAAACACTCAGATTACACAACGGGCACCACGTGATCATGGGAGACATAAGTAATTAAAGATTTTCTGCTGTACATTCATTTTGTTAATGCGCAATCTACACCTACAAGACCAACATATAAAAACGTGTTCCTTTTGCAAAACTTAGCTTTTAAAACGATAAACAATCAAGTTGCAAGCACCACAAAAAGGGGACAAACGTAGGTATCTACAAAACACAGCATGGAGCCAACTCTGTGTATTTTACTTACATAATGTACCGACATAGGCCAAAGGTAAAAAAGCGGGTCACGTGCAGCGTCTTGTGTCCAAACAAAATAGTTTTAGTTTCGTTTGAGTACAGTAAATAAAATTACTTCTCTGTTTTTCACTTACCCAGAACGGACCACCGCAGAATTGTTCAAACGAGCCCATATCCTCGCATCACCAACATGCACAGCACACTTTCAAATATCCATGTGTAAGACCCTCCCTCAGCAGCCCCCGTCAGCATCCGGTCTCCGTGGCCAGTGAAGCATAGCGTGGGACATGGTGCTGTATTTTGACCCCGCGGGAAACAGGGAGGTCACATTATTATATATGCACTCTGGATTAATGTTCTGATTTAAGAAAGCATTTACATGTAGCTAACGGTGTATTTGATTAACGTGATATACATGAATGTCTATGCGTTCATCTACAGTAAACTACGGTTATAACGAACTCAAAGGGACCACCCATTTTAGTTCGTAATAACCGTAGTTCGTTATAAACATATATACAGCGTATATGCAACACATGGCCGGGGCTAACAAGTAAGGTCGTTATATCGGTCAGTTCGTTATAACCGTGTTCGTTATAACCGTAGTTTACTGTATACATGTATGTAAGTTATCATCATGACCATCACGCATTGTATTTGCTATGACGTATGTTTCGTGTTTTAACGTTTTGGGTGATTAACTTTCAATTTGATTCATGTTCATGCAAATATCCACATATTTCCGCACGCTTTCTAGACATACTTTATAAGTGTTAGAACTTAAGATTGGTGCGTTCAGTTGAATCAACATGTGGAACGCTGTGTGTTTAGATAGTTGACATGGGGCAGGTGATGAACTGGAGCTCTTATGCTCCACTCTGTTGATGGATTATGCTGAGATACACTAACGTAAGGACATAAACCTGACTGCCAGACATTTATTGCATCATTAACAGCCTTTCAACCTTAAACTAGTGTGTCTCCTAGATTCTCGAGACTACATTAAAAAAGAATGAGTTGGCAGGTCTATATTGCCTCAGCTCTGCACTGGGGGCTCCATTTGTATTTTATATCGGTCCGATACTCGAGACTACATTAAAAAAGAATGAGTTGGCAAGTCTAGATTGCCTCAGCTCTGCTCTGGGGGCTCCATTTGTATTTTATCATTTTATGTTGTAGATATATATTTTTCATTAAGATAACTTTATTCCTGGGACTTAATGTCAGTCTAACCCTAATCCACAAAGGGCCTGTGGAGATTATTTATATGTGCCTTTCGAGTGAAAGATTGTAAAAGCAATGGAACATCACTACGTTGATACTTCTTTAATTTTAAAAAGTGCCAATTAATTCATTATAACGTTAATTTGGGAAAACAATATTTCAAATCACGATTACCACCTTTGATTGAAACAATTGCTTTTACGACCTCATCACCACTGAAGCTAATGTTTATAGAGAAACACTTCTATCTCAATCTTTGTCGGAAGGCAAATTCAATTCTACCATGGCACCGAAGAATGCTTGATTGTGATTTTAATGAGGTAATTAATTCTCCTATGAGTGATGTCCCGTCACGGCAGTGCCGTGCCGTGTAGAACTAAACCTGGCAATATAAAGCGATGAACCTTTTCGATATTAATAAGAACTCTCCATTATACAATTTCGACAATATCATGAGCATGTGTTTATGAATCACTATCATATATAGGGAGGGGGGGGGGGGGGGGGGGGTGCGGTCGCGTAGCCTTGTGGTTAAAGCGTTTGATCGTCACGCCGAAGACTCGGGTTCGATTCCCACTCACACTCACTCACTCATATAGTGATGATGCCAGGTGTTCGCGAAAAAGTGAGCGTGTTCTTCCACCCCGGTGGCACACTTCACAAATACGTGCAAATGTAAATAAAATGTTGATCTTAAAATACACAGAAACATATACTACAAGTCAAAACAGGGAATTACATCGGACATAATGTTCGTCACTGATGTGCCAAATTTGGAAATGTCCACCTTCTCCAAGCTTGCTGAATTGTCTTTATGTGTGCTCACTTTTGTTGAAGCGCTGTGCTACACACGTTTATTACAATTGTCTAATATTGTAAAGCATAATAATGTCAAAAAACTAAAAAAATGATGTCGCTACCATCAACATCTCGCATCAAAGAGTTGGCGTTCTGTCATGGGCAAATGCGTGACTGTCAAACTTCAGTTTAGCGTGGAATACATGATGCATATCTCTACACTGAAAACACACCATCTATATGTCGTTATTGTAAGCCCTAGGTGTTGCCGGGTCAACATACGTCCCAAATGCTCCCAGTTTCTCTTTATTCTAAGCCTAAGGTATTGCCAGGTCAACATACGTCCCAAATGCTACCTGTTTCTCGTGATTATAAACTTTAGGCGTTCCCGGGTCAACATGCTGCAAAGGTGTCCCTAATTTCTCTTAATTCTAAACCCTCGGTGTTCCCGGGTCGATATATGTCCCAAATGTTCCCAGTTTCTCGTTATTCTGAGCCTAAGGTGTTCCCGGGTCAACATACAGCAACGGTGTCCCCTGTTTCTCTTCAAATGTTAGCCCTAGGTGATCCCAGGTCGACATACGGCCAAGATGTCCCCTGTTTCTCGTAATTGTAAGCCCTAGGTGCTCCCGGGTTAACATACGGCCACGGTATCCCCTGTTTCTCTTCAAATGTTAGCCCCAGGTGATCACAGGTCAACATACGACCAAGATGTCCCCTTTTTCTCATTCAATGTAAGCCCTAGATGTTTCCCGGGTCAACATACGTCCCGAATAGTCCCTGTTTCTCGTAATTATAAACATTAAGTGTTCCCGGGTCAACATACGTCCCGAATAGTCCCTGTTTCTCGTAATTATAAACATTAAGTGTTCCCGGGTCAACATACGTCCCGAATAGTCCCTGTTTATCGTAATTATAAACATTAAGTGTTCCCGGGTCAACATACGTCCCAAATCGTAAGCCCTGGGTGTTTCCCGGGTCAATATACGTCCCAAATTCCCCAGTTACTCGTAATAACAATTCCCAAATGTGCCCCGTTTCTCGTATTTCCAAACCTAAGGTGTGGTCGGGTCAACATACGTCCCAAAGACTCCCTGTTTTCGTAATTATAAACCTTTGGTGTTCCCGGGTCAACTACAGCAAATATGTCCCCTGTTTCTCGTACTTGTGAGCCCTAGGTGTTTCTTAGTCAACATACGCCCAAGAAATCCCCTGTGTTTCAAAAAACGGAGATCGGGTGGTCTTAGTGCGTCATGTGACTCATATTTTGTCATCATAAACGCTATTCACTCAAAAACGACTTTGTGTCTGGATCAGACTCTATTATATACAGTCCTCCGTGAAATAACTGGACTAAACTGTACTAAACAAGAAAAAGTTATTCGATGGTGATGTATGTGAAGCAGGGCGTTGAGTCATCCCACAGAAGACATCCTTACCTTGTCAGCTTGCTGACGGGGTTAACCTCTTTGGTCATGTGGAAAAGGCGTCCGACCTCGGATCAGAAGGTCCGTGGTTCGAATCCCATCACGGGACTCGGAAATGTTATGGCCGCTACGTATGTAATACGGGTATCATAGTTGGGTTTGGAACTTTAGGTTTGCAGTGTGTCGGCAACTGTTTTCAATTAATAGTTCTTGTCACTTAAGGTAGAATTACGGATTATCGCGATGATCATGGCAAATTAATGAAGAAAAAATACAATATTATCAAATTCGAAATTATGTTTCTATTTATATTTTGCATGAAACTGTATAAAATCAAAATGGAATACCCCTCCTTCCTATAACAACCTAAAATAATTTCATTTACACCAGATCTTTTACACCGATTTCTATATCTCTACATGAAGACCCGAGGACACATCCCAGGATTTTCAAACCAGCCATTCAGCGTCGATGCTTCTAAATTCTCGGTACGAATTAGAGAAGCATTTAGACTAGCATGTCTCATGTCGTAGCTCAAAAACGAAGTTGTTCGGACTATTCCGAATGGAAATATTTCTGGCACGTCTGAGAGTGCCAGGATATCCCTCAGTTTTACGAGTGTGATGTATTATTGAAATCATACCCTAAACATGATACCTACCTTGTTGGCAAGGACATTCAATCCATCATACCTGTCTGGCAAGAGAGCATCCAAGGATGATTTGGTCAGTGATGTCCAGTTGGAAGAACTGTGGTTTCAGGCCAGTCTGTTCCAGGCTAGCCACCGCTGCTCGACCCAGGCTCTCGTTCCTGGCTGCAGACAAATAATGCCATCTTTATACCAGAGCGTTGTGAGGTCTGTGGTGTGGATTCAGGGCAAACAAGAGCCACTGGTGCGTCTGTGTAAGCCAAGAGTTGCATCCTTTAGCCGAGGCAGGATCCGTTGATCTAAAACCAGGTTCAAATAATAGTGTCGCTCAAATGCTGATTGAATGAGTGTGTTGAACGCAGTTTTGAACAGTTTTACAGATATATTACGGAATGTCAGATTAACATACACACTTCCACTTACACATGGTCGTGCTGTACAACAAACACTGATGATCAACACAACAGAAGCCTGTTCCACGCGATTGTTCATACCAACAGTGGTATCTTGATATTAACCAGTTTTGTAAAAACACTAAAGAAACTTTTGAATTGTAAACGACGTCATTTGCACCACACTTCATCTCAGGTAAAATATTCAGTTCGGTTAGCAAGTTTGGTTTTAACCAACGGTGTGTCAACTTGATGGGATTGGGGGTAACAACAGTGTTACCATTTTGGTAAGATCTGCGAGCCCGGGTTCGGTGCTGACAACCAAGGATCAGAGAGATCTGGATATTCGAACACACGATCCTGGTACAGCTAAGGCACGTAACTGTGCACTGCACCCGTTGGGGCGTCTAAGGGTGCAATTATGAACATATGACTGTCAGCATGGATCACTAAAATGTAAGCGGTAAAGAACCTCATCGATGTGACAGTTTGGGTTTTGCTACACAATTCATCTGATTCGCTGTGATATAGAACTTTAATACTGCTCACAGCGGAGTTAAAACCGACTCACTCTACTATTGCCACGGCTGTGACACGAAGCTCCGCACAGCGCCTTGGACTATAGGGATAACAGTGTCCAATCACCGTCAGTATTTCACCGGTGTGTATGTAATACATTCCACCGCCACCCAAACATACCACATGATTATGATATAATAGTAAAACGTGTTTATTTTTAGTAAGATAATCAAATTAGGCTGTTGATAACACACGGAAGTGATGCTCCCCTTATGGTTTATCCTCCGTGCAGTGTTATTGTACAATATACAACTAACATTGGTCGTTTATTTCTCAAATGTATCTTAATTATCGATCACAAAAGTCATCGTCTGGACTGGGCGCCGCCATTTTGTTTGTAGCAAATGCAAGTGATGTAAGAGGTTGACTCTGATTGGTCAAATGGAGGGACAGAGAAGGGACATAACTCGCAATAGCCGCTGTTGGCCATACGGTCGAGCTACAAAATTCCAGCCTAGTTCGGCGAGGTTGGAAAGTGGACTTGTATTGGCAGTTAACGTCATTGCCTAGGGAAGATATACATTGTACTGACTCAAGCTTACAGTGATTTGACCCCAAGTTCAAGGCTGCTGTGTATGGTTCGGCTCGACACTTCCGGTGACCATTGTTACCAGTGGTTACTGGGAAACAATGGTGGATCCAGTATGAAATTTGGATCTTTACGTGGCAGGTTGGTAAGCATACAGTTGGCGAACAGCCCATGACTGATATTAAGCATTGCTTTGTTCATTTGATACCTCTAACTTACACATTTGAAAGCTAAAGCGTTCGGTTCAAAATTATAATAAGAGGTATCTTATCTACAGTGGGATTACATCAAATTTCAAAACACAGTAGGTTTATCTCCTAAATAAAGGAATGCAGGGAGAAAACCTCTCGGGGCTGCGCAGTGTTTTATTGTACAATAAACAACTCCCACTCGTCATATATTTCTTTATTAAATCAAATAAAAAAAATAGGATGAAGGAAGAAAGGAGGAGTCAAGTTCCCTTGCATTTGGATCCCAAACATTCCGTCATTGGAAAAGTAGTCCGTCCCGGTGGGCCTTGGAAATGAATGAGCGAGTGAGTTGGGTTTAACGCCGCTTTTAACAGTATTCCAGTTATATCACGGCGTGTCAACTTAATGTGGGGGGAAGGCCCGAAGAGATGCAGGTCTCAGACGTTTACCGTTTCGGTAAAACCGACGAGCACGGGTGTGGTGCTGACAAACCTAGAAACATAATTGGGGTGAACCGGGATTCGAATCCACAATCATAGGTTTCTGGCGTGCCCAAGGGACGCAACTCTGCACAGTGAATCGTGGGGCCTTAGACGACTGTGCCACCCCTGTCCCCGCCTGGGAAATGAATGCAAGAGGATTGCAGGAATTGCAATGAGTGATTTAGTGATCAAAGTGAGTATGGTTTTACGCCGATTTGTGAAATATTCCAGCAATAACACGGCCGGGGGCACCAGAAATGGGCTTCACACGTGTAACCATGAATCGAACCCCCAAAGCTACCCCAACGGCCAAGGAATTATAACGAACACACCCCTAATTTAATAATACCACCTTGTAGCGATTTTTGATTAAAAACTCGGATGCATTTGGTTAACAAGAGAACACTATCCGCACTTACCAACAATTCGGGTTCAAAACAAAACAACCTTCTTCATCACACATGACAACAAACGAGTACAGTAGAGAACGTGGTAATTACACAATATTTGTTGTATTTATACCATACACACGTAATCTAAATGTAAAAAACAGATTTGAAAAAGACCTTCTACAGTGAACTGGGTACGTGATTGCATGTAATTTTACGCCGCTTTTGGCTTTATTCCAGCAATATCACGGCGGTAAAACATAAGGGTTCTTATACACGTTCACACACCTGCAGGTGAGGAACTCATTTGCGATAACTGTTACCAACTGATAACTGTGGTCAGAGACACAATTCCAGGCCCGTGATTGGCTGCGCCATGGCGATGATCTGAGGTCAGATTATGACGGACTACTTTCTTGCCCGAAAGTCATTGATGCGTTTTTTGTGCTTCAGTCGAATTCGCCGAAGTTTGTGTCGAAATTTTAAGAATTTAAAAAAAAAATTTTTTTTATCTTATTTAGTTTGCATTATCGACATCGCATTGATAATCAACAGATAAGGATGAAACCTTTTTTTGTGGAGGGTCACACTGGGTATGTGTTGTAAGCTGTCAGCCGGATGAAGTCGCCAGTGACCGCTGTGTTAGGTATAAATGGTCCACTGCGATCATGGGAATAGACCAGTCATGCACCGAGTCATGCTGCAATGGTGTGATGGCAAAGATGTGTTCACGGAGAAAACCACACAAGAAATTAATCAAATTAGACATATTAAAACTTCGTCGTTGTAAGTGAAATGCAAAACTGAAAAATACCATTCGTTGATATGAAGCAGGTATGCACTGCAAGAGAATTGATCTTTGTTCTGTGCGACGTCATGAAAAGCATGCCAAAAGCATAGGAAAAAGATCCTACAAGAAATGTTAATGATATGTTCTTTCAAAACAATCTTACATTGATAAAACATTAATATGTTCCTGTTACATCTCTGAAGACGTGTGGTTCCAAACAATGTTCCATATAGAAAAAAACAAGAGAACATGATATATATTGCAAAAAATCTCAAACAGAAAAAGCATGTCGTAAAGATGTCAAATTGTATCAGTTTAGTTCATGTTTTGCATTTGTTTGTGTGTTGGTAGCTGAACGCTGCACTCGGTAATATTTAATTTATATGAGAGAGATAATGTTTTATAAAAGTCTCACTTTCTGCACAAACTTATGCAGATAAAGTTATGTACTAAAGCAGACAACACACATTACTACAGTAAACATCTAAAATTACAGAAACCAACCGGAGACTATATGACGGCGGCCTGATAATATTCAATTCTGGACCAGACAGTCGTACAAACATTATCAGGTCGATTCGGGTGTTCGAAAGGGCAATCAAAGGTATCTCACACATAGAAGAGAAACGCGCCTTAGACGACCAGACCAACGGCAACCCGGCGTCATTCAGACGTAGATGACGGTGTTGTTGTAGTGCTTCCAGCCACGGATGATCTTATACAGTCTGTCTCCGGGGGATTCTGTCGGATAACCTACGTCACGACGTCCTAGCAACGTGTACGACGGCGACAGTTCGCCGTAGCGGACGCCGTAAGTAAGCAGTGTCATGAGTGCGTCAAGGGCGGCTTGGCTTGGCTCCCGGTCATTGAACTTGCCAATGAAAGCGATTCCTGTATAAATATAAAGGCTGTTGCGTGAAATCAGTGATGTTTTATTGATGTCAATATTCAATATCACCCATGAGCGCAGGGATACACCTGAAACTGTTTTTAGTAATTCTCACTGAACATTATCGTTTGTCCTTCATGCTGATTGGCTAGTTCATTCCAATGGTTTCACTGTTTCCGAAGAGGCCCATTGCAACGTGACATCATACGGACAGTGTCATATTGTCGCAAATAATAGAAGATGACGTCATCCATTGTTACAAACTATTCCGCTTGACGTCTTTCCAACAATAGTCCATATGACGATTGCATGTAAATAATTGCATCTGGACCAGACAATCCAGTGATTCATTACGTGAGCAACGATACCAGCCATCTCGGTACAACATACTATCAACCACAACTTTATGACTATTTGATCCATTAAGTCATCTTTTACGACCTAGAGACCTAGAATCCTGGAGACCTATGTTAACAAAGAGTCCCCACGGGGGCTATGGTGGTGTAGGCGAGGTGGCGTTCAAGATTATTGCACTTATAAAGCGACGTGAATGCATGTGTGGGTGTGGCTGTTTGTACAAGTCCGGACTAATGCTGATTTTATAGTGCTACCCCACTGAGATACCATGCCAGAGTTTAACATAAATACCCCACACGGACACAGTATACTGACTCCGAGCCGACCAGTCCTTGACAGGGGATTGAACCCCGGACCTTCCGCTCTACAGGCGGAGTCTCTACCACCAGGCCTGGGGGCGGTAATGAATGTTTGTTTGTTTGTTGTTTAACGCCGCACTCAGCAATATTCCAGCTATATGACGGCGGTCTGTAAAATAATCGAGTCTGGACCAGACTGTCCAGTGATTGACATCATGAGCATCGATCCACGCAACCAAGTCAGCGAGCCTGACCACCCGATCCTGTTAGTCGCCTTTTACGACAAGCATAGTCGCCTTTTACGGCAAGTATGGGTTGCTGAAGACCTATTCTACCCCGGAATCTTCACGGGTCCGGTAATGAATGCTATAATCATGAATGGAGAGAAGATGGTGACTCGGTGAATTGATTTTTTGCGTTTCATTGTACTCCGATGTATCATTTTCATGGTTACAATCTGAGTCAATGTCTTCCTCTATCTTTACCACCTCTCTCGGCAGCACTCACCAACAGATATTCTGTTATAGCCATACGTGTGTGCCCCCACGGCGCCCCAGCCTCGCCCCTCGTACACGTTGCCGTCATCGCCGATAGCGAAGTTGTAGCCGATGTCGGACCAGCCTGTAAAACAAGACTTAATGGACTTAATGGAGTGAGTGAGTGTGCCAGCTTGATGTCAGACATTTACCACTACGTTGAAACCCACGAGCATGGATATGATGCTAACAAACCTAGAATCATAATCGGCGCGAACCAGGATTTGACCCACAATCATAGGTTTTTGGCGTGCCCAAGGGACGCAACTCTGCGCATCGAGGTGAGGTGAGGTGAAATTGGGTTTAACGTCGCGTCCAAGATTATTGCACTTATATAGCGACGTGCATGCACGTGTGTGTGTGTGTGTGCCTGTTTGTACTAGTCCGGACTGATGCCGATTTATAGTGCTAGCTCACTAAGATACCATGCCGCAGTTTAACATGAATATCCCACTCAGACACAGTATACGACTCCGAGCCGACCAGTCCTTGTTTTAGCCCCTTAATGTCGAGCGCCAGACAGGGTAACAACAAGTACCATCTTTTAACGTCTTTTGGTATGACGCGGCCGGGGATCGAACCCCGGACCTTCCGCTCGCCGGGCGGACGCTCTACCACAAGACCACGGAGGCGGCTCTGCGCATCGAACTGCGGGGCCTTTGAGGACTGATGGACACAGAAGAAGAGGTGAGGTGAGGTGGGGTGGGGTTTAACGTATGCGTGTGCGTGTGCGTGCGTGCGTGCGTGCGTGCGCGCGTGTGTGTGTGTGTTTGTATCTATGTCTGTATGTGCGTGGCTGCGTGTACTAGTCCCGACTTATATCGTTGTTAGGGTGCCAGATCTCAAAGATAGCATTTTGTACTATATTATGGTTACCCCACACTGAAACTGTATAAATTGTAGACTATGACCGACCAACCCCCCTTAATGGATACAACAATTACCATCTTTTAACACCTATAGGCACGATACAGTCAAGGGATCGAACCATCAACCTATCGCTATCTGGACCAAGCATAGTCGCCTTTTAGGGCAAGCATGGGTTGCTGAAGACCTATATACCCCGGAATCTTCACGGGTCGCATGTCAGTGTAATGTGGGAGGAAGGTCCAAAGTGATGCTGGTCACACTATGATGAATCCGACGTCCGAGTTTCGTGAAAACAAACCAATTATGATAATGAGGCAGAATCCAGGATTCAAGTCCACGAGCACAGGACATGACACTCCTAAGGGAAGCAACTCTGGCATGCACAGCCATTTGTTCCTCCGCTCTGCATTGTATCTGACGTGGAGATCGAGTCAGAATGTGAAATGTAAGGGAAGTGAATAATGAAACGGTAAACCTTTTATATACCAAACTCTCTCTGTTCAGTTCAGATATGGCCGTATATATATTTCAATAGTAGCATCGCTCCTAGTTTGATACCCCAACCAATCCATAAGGGACGGACCATTCTTTGTCTTCCCGTGTACCCCACCCTCTCTCTCTCCCTCTGTCTCTCTCTCTCTTTGTCTCTCTGTCTGTCTGTCTGTCTGTCTGTCTCTCTCTCTCTCTCTCTCTCTCTCTCTCTCTCTCTCTCTCTCTCTCTCTCAACCTGTTATTTAAACATTTGTTTGTTTTTTACAAAATCCTAAATCCTTTCCATGATCATAAGTCAACTCCGCAATGTCCATTAATAAATATTTTTACTGGTAGCTACAAGTTCCCTACCACGTCCGTCCACATGGAAGTTCTGGTAGCACTGCATCAGTCTCACGCAGTCCTGGCTGTAGCTGCATCCTGCCGAGGCTCCATGGTGAATGATGACGTACTGGGGAGTCTCCTTCAGTCTGTCTACTCCAGGGCCAGCCGGCCGTGCCCCCCACACAGCACGTGCCAAGATGGTGGGGGACCTGGGCACGAACACGCCTGACCTGCCCTCCTCTGTTAAATGTAGAAAATTATCTTGGACCAAATCAATCTGAAAAAATAAAAAAATAAAAAATAAGAAATAAAACAAAGTTCTTTCTTTCTGTTTTCCTGTTTGTTACCCCCAGAGCCATTATCGATGGAATAATCAGAAGCTTCATCATTTATTAATCTGGAGACCGCCTTCGTAGTCTAGTGAACATGGCATCTGACTTGAGAATGGAAGGTCGGTGGTTTGAACTCTCCTGGCCTCACCATACCAAAAGATGTTAAAAGATGGTATTTGTTACCGGGGGGGGGGGGGGGGGGGGGGGGGGGGGAAGAGGGGGCACGGGTGGCCCAGTCGTCTAAGGCGCCGCGATTCGCTGTGCAGAGTTGCGTCCCTTGGGCACGCCAGAAACCTATGATTGTGGGGTCGAATCCGGGTTCGCCCCAATTATGTTTCTAGGTTTGTCAGCACCATACCCGTGCTCGTTGGTTTCACCGAAGTGGTAAACGTCTGAGACCTGCATCACTTCGGGCTTTCCTTCCACATTAAGCTGACACGCCGTGATATAACTGGAATACTGTTAAAAGCGGCGTTAAACCCAAATAAATGAAGAAGTGTAACCAGGGCCCCGTTCCTCAAAGCGATCTTAGCACTACGATGATCGTAAGCCTATGTTAAAGTATGGGACTTACGATCACCTTAGTGCTATGATCGCTTTGAGGAACGGGGCCCAGGACTATAGTTTTAGATAAAATGCATCCCATAAATAATAGAAAATTGAAACAAATTAATCCTTTGAAATGATGATTTTTGTTGCTATTGCTTCATTGGTTGGTATTGCATTGTATAAGCATAAGGCGACAGAAAGGCTTGAGTTAACGCAAAGAATAGAGGGAATCAATAGCCAAAAAGGCAAAATGATGATTCCCGTTCATTGCCACATTTTACCTAAAGGATTCGACCGCCTCCGTGGTCTAATGATAGAGCGTCCGCCCGGAGAGCGGAATTCGAAGGTCCGGGGTTCGATCCCCAGCCGCGTCATACCATAAGACGTTAAAAGATGGTACTTGTTGTTACCCTGTCTGGCGCTCGGCATTAAGGGGCTAAAAACAAGGACTGGTCGGCTCGGAGTCAGTATACTGTGTCTGAGTGGGATGTTAAACTGCGGCATGGTATCTCAGTGAGCTAGCACTATAAATCGGCATCAGTCCGGAGTAGTACAAGCAGCCACACAAACACACACAAGTAAATGCACGTCGCCATATAAGTGCAATAATCTTGGACGCGACGTTAAACCCCATTTCACCTCACCTCATTTTGTGTATAAAGTAGTTTATCGCGCCCGCCAATGAGCCCTGTTCAAGGACGTTTAATTTATGGCGCCGGTTGTTACATATTTTATTTTAAGGCATCTTCATTGAAATACAAAGTTAGTCGTATATTCGGCATCTTACAAAGGATATAGTTTGCTCTTCCCCAATGTACATGTGTAGTCTACTAGTTTTGCCCTAATGTATTATCGTTAAAGCAAGAGGACGCTGGCTTAATTTCTTAAGCATAACATGGAGTGAGTAAGAGAGTGTAGTTTTACGCCGCTTTTAGCAATATTCCAGCAATATCACGGCGGGAGACACCAGCAATGGGCTTCACACATTGTACCCATGTCGGGAATAGGACCCGGGTCTTCGGCGTCACGAGCGAACGCTTTAACTACCAGCTGGCTACCCGACCGCCCCTAACGTGGGAGATATGTGGGTGGTTTCGAGAATGTTCGAAAAAAAAAACGAGGAACAAACATCTTATATCTTCGTTGTCAAAACCATGACTGTTACGGTCACCCATTTGTCTTAAATGTCCACAGTACCAGGGGCGGTCGGGTAGCCTAGTGGTTAAAGCGTTCGCTCGTCACGCCGAAGACCCGGGTTCGATTCCCGACATGGGGTACAATGTGTGAAGCCCATTTCTGGTGTCCCCCGCCGTCATATTGCTGGAATATTGCTAAAAGCGGCGTAAAATCATACTCACTCACTCACTCCACAGTACCACATTACTGTGAGTCATAATACCCTAACATGTCGTAAGAGGCGACTAAATTGATCGGGTGGTGAGGCTCGCAGACTTGGTTGATGTCATCGTATCCGAAATGCATGGATCGATGGTCATGGTGCCAATCACACAATTATATGACCTAGACTCGATTATTTACAGCCCGACGTCAAATAGCAGGAATATTTCTGAGTGTGCCGTTAAGCAATAGAAACAAACATACCTGACTCCCACGCTGGGCTGGTGTAAGTATTCCGTCACTACCATCATGCATTGCACCTTCCTGAAGAGCGACCAATGGGACACGACTCTCTCCGTGTGACTCAGTGACGTCAGCTTTCAGGCAAGAACTGTCCATTGATTCTACAAATGACAAAAATGAGAGTGTGTGTGGTTCTACGCCGTGGGGTCGAAATTATTGCAGTGTGTTGCGTCGTGATATCTCGGAGGTTTAGTTCTATAAAACCGACACACACACACAATAATCACTGAAGTGCAATAATCATGAATGGGACGTCGTTGAAACGGATTTCACCCCACCACTACCTTAAAAAGTGATTGTTCGAGAGGTGAAAATTGATCGTTGGTTTGTTATCATCGCATCCTGACGTCCAGTAGCATCAACCCCAACGCAAACTCGGCCCTTCACACTTCACCGTGATATAGCTTGAATATCACTCACCGTGTGGTACAAACAAACCGGGGGGCACGGGTGGCCCAGTCGTCTAAGGCGCCCCGATTCGCTGTGCAGAGTTGCGTCCCTTGGGCACGCCAGAAACCTATGATTGTTGGTTCGATCCCGGTTCGCCCCGATTATGTTTCTAGGTTTGTCAGCACCATACCCGTGCTCGCGGGTTTCACCGAAGTGGTAAACGTCTGGGACCTGCATCACTTGGGGCTTTCCTCCCACATTAAGCTGACACGCCGTGATATAACTGGAATACTGTTAGAAGCGGCGTTAAACCCAACTCACTCACTCACAAACAAACCTGTGAGGAAAATACACGTGTCTGCAAGTTATTCCCTACCGTCTCCACCCTTGTGGTCGTCCTGGTAACGATGTCTTCTACCCATGCATTTATCACAGTCGCCCGCCTTTGGTCCGTGCTGACTGGAGGGGTCGTGGGGAGGTTTGTTCGGACCGGCACTTGGTGGATGTGGCGCTCCGCCGTTCCAGGCTGCACGTGGCACAGTTTTAGGACACCCAGTCATGCGTGTATTTGAGATACCATCCGTCATGTGTCCTGGCAGAAACAGTGTTACAGTATTATATTTTGGGAAAAAAAATATCTTCGTCGCTGGTGGATGATGAACATTAGCTTAGTCAGAGTTGTTTCTGGGGGCCGCCTCCGTGGTCTAGTGGTAGAAAGTCAGCCCGGAGCGCAAAAGGTCCGGGGTTCGATCCCCGGCCGCGTCATACTAAAATATGTTAAAAGTCGGTACTTGTTGTTACCCTGTCTGGCGCTCGGCATTAACGGGGAAAAACAAGGACTGGTCGGCTGGGAGTCAGTATACTGTGTCTGAGAGGAGTATTCATGTTAAAATGCGGCATGGTATCTCAGTGGTCTAGCACTATAAAATCGGCAATTCCCAATTCCCAATAAACCCCAATTCACCTCACCCTTTTCTAGTGTGTCAAACTTACAATGAGAGAATACAGTTTAAAGTCGCATTCTGAAATAGCCTAGCAAGAACACGGCGACCTGTATATACTGTAAAACGTGAAATTAATGCGTCTCCAAAAGAATGCGAGCGCTGGCCCCTAGCCAAAAATGCGACTCAATATGAATGCGACACCCCCTCCTCTCAAGCATCAGTGGATTTATATCTAAACAAAACGTCCTCTGACAGGTTTACAGGGGAATCCTCACCTTAATCCAACCTTACATTAATCCAATCACACACCAAATAGTACCGCTTATTAGCGCTGAGCAGAGTACTTCAGCTAAAACAATACGTGAGCGCTGGCTCGTGTCGGCCTTTAATGAAGTCGCAAAGAGCAAAGACACCGCGTTGGGTGGCGTCTGTCTGGACTTGATAAGGTGTGATAAGTGATGACATGAGTGAGTAGAACGCTTGTCCTCACGCCAGCAGTATCAATTCACAGGATGTAATTAGTGTTTGAATGACATTGTTTATGTACTTGTTACAAGTGCTGCTCAATAAACATTGATGTGGAATACATAGTTGTTTGTTTTCAGCGTATGTCTAAGTTGGAATTTCTGCTATTCAAAATGTCTTATTGTTGATATATATGCGATGTTTAATAATGCCAGCAAAGACCACTCGCCTTTTTTCGCATTTAATTCACGCTCGCGTTAATTTCACGTTTTACAGTATTCGGGGGTGAATAATTTTGGTTAAAACGAATCATCCCCTTTCGAGTTAACTCCGGTGTTTAGCTACATGGTATGTGCAAGTTTCTTGGCGGGGTGTTAGAAGTAGGGTTTACCTCTGCAGTTCTTATGGAAGGATAGGTTACCCGTCTTCAGCCATCCCGTCTGAAATAAAGTCGATAAGGGAAGCAAGTGAGTGAGTGAGTTTGGTTTAAGGTCGCTTTGATTTTTTGGGGGTTTTTTTTGTTGTTGTTTAACGCCGCACTCAGCATCATTCCAACTATATGACGGCGGTCTGTAAATAATCGAGTCCGGACCAGACAATCCAGTGATTAATATCATGAGCATCGATCCACGGAACTGTGATCGATGACATGCATCAAGCAAGTCAGCGAGCCTGACCACCCGATCCCGTTAGTCGCCACTTACGACAAGCATTGTCGCCTTTTATGGCAAGCAAAACATATTATTTAGAAACAGCACTTATTGAGAGTGAAATAAGGTTGGCATTCTACAGAGTAATTGATTTCTACATATTAGCTCAGTATTAGCTCAATTGAAAACAACTCGGTACACTACTCGTTCCATTATCTGAGAGTTCCATTATACAAGAGGGTAATTTGAAAAAACAAATCCTTATATTTTCGTCACGATATCGCTGAAATGGGGTGAACATCTTACTTATACACATTAGGATAACCTACACACTGTCACACACTTACGGTGACCTTAACCTTGTGGGCGTAAAGAAGTGTATACAGAGAAACTGAAAAGCAGCCGCTGACCTTGTTGTTGACCTTGACCTGTACCCAGATCCTGCCGCTGGAGTTGAACGACTTCCCCTGCAAGGTCACACATTGACCAGAGGTCAAGGTCTTTACTGGCGCACCTCGGCTTCCGTATGTAGTTCTTATGTCGATTTTGGCATTCGCGCATACGCACTCAAAAGGCTCTGGATGGGGGGAAAGGTATGTGATGTGAAGTTTCCGTATGGGTAATAACTGATAAAATACATGACACATAATAATACTAGTTTGTTTGTTTGTTTGTTTGTTTGTTTGTTAACGCCGCACTCAGCAATATTCCAGCTATATGACGGCGGTCTGTAAATAATCGAGTCTGGACCAGACAATCCAGTGATTGACATCATAAGCATCGAACCACCAAATTGTTATCGATGACATGCGTCAACCTAGTCAGCGAGCCTGACCACCCGATCCCGTTAGTCGCCTCTTACGTCAAGCATAGTCACCGTTTACGGCAAGCATGGGCTGCTGAAGGATATTCTACCCCGGATCTTCACGAGTCTATCAATACTGGTATAAGATACAATAAAATACATTATTATTAATATTATCACTCTCGTCTTTATAATTTTGTTTATCATTTTGGATTTTGAAGCGTTAATTCATCGGGAGTCACTGTTACGAGTGTATGAATGTAATGCATGATCAAAATAAACGATCATCCTTACGTTCAAATACAAATCGTGCACGTAACCGGGGCGTTACTTTGCCTTAAATGGTGGCGAGTCATGTACCGTACCTTACTTACCGTTACACTTCTTTATGTAGATATCAAATGTCAATAGCCAGGCACTCTGCAAAATATTTTTAACAACATTGGAACAATTATTAAAGTTTGTATATTTTGACACTAAAGTACTAACGGAAATGAAAAAAAACTGATTTCAGATTTTAAATAAATGCAGTTAATATACAAAATATATAAATATTCAAACAACTCAATTAGTACTAATTGGGCCTTGGCACAAATACAGCGTATCAAAGGTTTTAATGTCTTTTTACACGTAAAAGTGTGTAAAAATATGAACAAAACAGACTATTGTGAAACTGAGCATAACCAGGTGTTAGTAGATCAAGGTGAATGTCCATGACCTATGACAACTTGACGACAGGTGAAAACAGGTGCTTGAAACCCACGTGCATGCGATTTGTCAGTGGTTAGTGATTTGTGAGTGGTTTTGTGGGATAGTGAATCATCGTCAAAATATCAGAACGTAAAAGTAACATATTCCCTTCTCAAACAACAACTTACATGTCATTATTATTATGTACATGAACATAGCTGTTATTTTTATTGTTTTTTTGATAACTTTTTTCCAGGCTAATTTGCATAATGCCTATAGCCTGTTTCTGCCATGTCAATCTGGACTTAGTTTTATTTTTGAATGTTGAAAGTGCCTACAAATTACCTCCTGTAAAGTACATTTTGTATTGAGCACTGAGATAGAACTAGCAAATCCAGACTAGTACTTTTCCAGTTGTTTTGTTACTTCGTATTTACATCTACGCAATGCTTTGTGTCGATTATTAAATCCAGCAAAACAGTTTTTTACATTTCCATGAGTACTTTAATATTATCTGCTGCAGCTGCTTCGAAGGGGTAACATCGCAACGTTACACTTGGGACCATTAAAATGATATCGAGTTATCTGTAATTCCAGACAAGCGGACGTTAGACCGTCGAACCAAGGAACCACTTGCACAAAGCGAACTTACTGCTTTAACTAACCTTACGTATACCCTCCTACTTTAACATAGGCTCACAACAGTCTAACCTATCGACCCCTTTGTGCAGTTGGGGCAAGGCTAATGAAGAAATATCGTCTTACATGATATATCGAGGTAGTGGACTTCGATTTGCCAGGTGTCTCTGTTTGTTTTACGATAAACTTAAACTGCAGGTCGGAATGTAAACGCAAGATAACATATACCACTACAACTACTGCTACTACCACTACAACTACTACTACTACTGCTGCTGCTGCTGCTTTGTTGTTTAACGCCGCACTCATTAAAATTCAAGTTATATGACGGCGGTCTGTAAATAATCGAGTCTGAACCAGACAATCTCATGATTGAGATCATTTACGCAATTAGGATACGCCGACATGCATCAACCAAGACAGTGAGCCTACCCCGTTAGTCACTACTACTACTACTACTACTACTACTACTACTACCCATGTGTGCACATTCTCAGCTCACTAGGGGCCATACAACCTAAACTGCTTTTCAAGTCGCTATCGGCCCAAGGCATAGCTTTTGAAATTCCAATACGAGCCCCTCGCTTAATTCGATGAATAAAATTCATTTATGAAATCAGTTTAAATTCGTATTCACCATCCCTTGATAGGACACGTGGGCATATATCCGGCCGTCATTGAGAGCCTGCTGAACACCGCGGTACGGAAGGCACCTCGGGGAACTCAATGTCCCGTAACTGTTATCGCCAGTTTCCGTGAAGTTCCTCTCGATCGCAGTGTCCACTGATGCGCATGCGCAGCGACTGGCAGGAGGTGTAAACCCAAGGGTTGATGTTACCAGGGCAAAGGAAATTACAGTAAACAGCATCTGAAAAAACCGTGTGATTTATATTAACAAGTAACAATCGAGAATAGCATCCTTATAATACTCAGACATTTAATGATTGACACAGAAACAAACGACCTTCGAACAATTACGTACTTCGGGCCCGAGTGAGGTGATGTGAAATTGGGTTTAACGTCGCGTCCAAGATTATTGCACTTACATAGCGACGTGCATGTACGTGTGTGTGTGTGTGTGTGTGTGTGTGTGTGTTTGGCTGCTTGTACTAGTCCGGACTGATGCCGATTTATAGTGCAAGCTCACTGAAATACCATGCCGCAGTTTAACATGAATACCCCACTCAGACACAGTATACTGACTCCGAGACGACCAGTCCTTGTTTTAGCCCCTTAATGCCGAGCGCCAGACAGGGTAACAACAAATACCATATTTAAACGTGTTTTGGTATGACGCGGCCGGGGATCGAATTCCGGACCTTCCGCTCTCCGGGCGGACGCTCTACCACTAGACCACGGAGGCGGTCCGGGGCCCGAGTGAAATAATTGTATAATATCTGAGTGAAATCGATGTCACCTTTATATATTTGTAAAAGGGGCACGGAGATAGTGTGTTTCTGTAATTCTGACCCACCAGCAAGCGAGAGAGCTTTTGATAGTGCGCCACGGCTTCGGCAAGTCATAAGTTATTAATAAACCGGGGATTCCCCTAGCGACTCACACTGAGCTGGTCAAGCATAACCGAACTGCGCCTTGGGCAGCTCGCTTTGAGATGTATATTTTCAAATGTAAACACATATTCTTCCTTTCGACACAGCTAAACGTTAGACCTTATACTCTACCTGCTTTCGGAAACAAACAGTATGATCAATATCAATGATGAGGGATATTGTATATACAGTGAGAACCTACACTGCACACACAGCACTGACTGCACAACAAAACCCACCTTCTCGCGGAGCTGGCGACTGGGTACTGACTTAGACTGGGTCCGCGTCGCATGACGTTGCAGTGTATTGCGCCTTTGGAAAAGTTATGGCTTTTCCGAAATTATTATTTTCGTTATTGAAAACATGTTATTTCTAAGAAAATCTATTTCTAATATTTAGGGATATTATTGGAAGAGTAATTTTAATGACCTGTTACAGTATACAGTGTACGTCAGTGTTGTAAAATGAGAGTGTTTAATTTCTACATAGCTTAGTGCTATTACGTGGCGAGGGGATTCGAACCCTGTCCAGATATGTGACGCCACTAGTACATTATATTCTTATATACATGGAATAACTTATTTCATAAATCAACAAACAACGGTTAGACTCACACAGACAAGAACAATGCCGAGTCTCTTTTTGCTTGCGGTTGGACCCGTGAAGATCCGGTGTTAGAAATAGATCTTCAGCAACCCAGGGGGCACGGGTGGTCCAGTCGTCTAAGGCGCCCCGATTCGCTATGCAGAGTTGCGTCCCTTGGGCACGCCAGAAACCTATGATCGTTGTTCGAATCCCTGTTCGCCCCGATTATGTTTCTAGGTTTGTCAGCACCATACCCGTGCTCGTGGGTTTCACCGAGGTGGTAAACGTCTGAGACCTGCGTCACTTCGGGCTTTCCTCCCACATTAAGCTGACACGCCGTGATATAACTGGAATACTGTTAAAAGCGGCGTTAAATCCAACTCACTCACTCATTTAGAAAACAGAAATGCGTATATATGAAGGTTTCGAACGTGTTGAAGATAGACAATCTTGTGATTATTAAACCGACTGGTTATTCCAGTGCACTTCCAGATTTTACTCAGATTAACACACATTGCCACACACAACAGAAATAGTTAACACCCCTAAATCAAGAAGTTCGGTGCCTTCGCGTACAGGCATGCATACATCTTGACAGATTTTTGCAATTGTGGGGTCAGTTTGCCTGCAACGGGTGACTGCGTCCAACGAACAATTTCATGCAACCTATACCGTATTTTATCTAACAGACGCCGAGTAAAAACCGAATTTGAATGATACAAGTTGGGTCTCTTGCACAATGGGAGCTCTCATGATACGCCTATATATACCACGTATCCAACTTCTCCTTGGCTAACAAGAGGTTGTTATCAACCAGTATGTTTTGTTTAAGGGACATAAGTACCGTCTTATAGCCAGCCTAATGAAATAAAATGTAACATTTTGTTAGGTCATAGGCGACAAAGTAACGCCAGGCAAATTTATTGTCAGGTCTGGTTGTTGCAAACTTCGTGAACTTACTTTTTTAACAAGTAATGAAATTAAAAAAAAGTGAATCGAGCCATCAATCTCATTAAAATCAGATCTCGCTACCGTTAAACAAAGATCTGAGGACATCCCATGAGGGGTCACGTCAGCACTTATTGGACATTTTTGCCTACAGTTAATCTGTCATGGCAGATTAACTGTAGACTTATGAAAGAATCGGGTTTTCCGTCATTTCTTTTAAGTCGACCTAATAAATAATATATTTTGTTTATACCCAATATATATTCTTCATAACACCGTAACATGGAAACCTTGCCCTTCGCACGATACAACGAGACTGCGTAAAGATGAATAAACTACTGTATTTCGCTTTTGTTGGTCAACTTTATAAGAAACCGATCAAAGGGAGGGAACTCTTAATAACTATCCCTAAACCGCAATTACGAACACGGAATTGAGAATCGGTTAGGGGAAGGATATACGCTTGTTGACGATGCTTGTTATTGTCACTGGTGGTGGTTCCAAGTAACATGCAAGCTCCTTGCAGGGTATGTTATGTGAATCGCCCTTGACCCTTCCCACTTCAACACAACGAACACGACATCGAGAGCGGAGGCATGGGAAATAAATTCACAAGGCGTGTGTGGCAGTCGGGCAGCAGATAGACGAGATCTCGCCATATCTCACATTCCTGAGCACACTTCACATTTTGTATTTTATTTGAATCCCGAGGCGCAGGGAGGGGCTGATACAGACAACTGTCAGTGTCCTCCTTGTTGTTACAATGTGTCGGTGGGGATGGATGTCAATGTGTCACAGCAACTTGCAACTAAGTTTGGGAATGACAGACATGCAGGGTAAGGTGAGGTGAAATTGGGTTTAACGTCGCGTCCAAGATTATTGCACTTTTATAGCGACGTGCATGTACGTGTATGTGTGTGTGTGGCTGCTTGTAAAAGTCCGGACTGATGCCGATTTATAGTGCTAGCTCACTGAGATACCATGCCGCAGTTTAACATGAATACCCCACTCAGACACAGTATACTGACTCCGAGCCGACCAGTCCTTGTTTTAGCCCCTTAATGCCGAGCGCCAGAGAGGGTAACAACAAGTACCATCTTTTAACGTCTTTTGGTATGACGCGGCCGGGGATCGAACCCCGGACCTTCCGCTCTCCGGGCGGACGCTCTACCACTAGACCACGGAGGCGGTCGACATGCAAACCAGAACACAGAACAGCAAACGCTTTCCTCTCAGTTGTATTTGTTTGTTTGTTTGTTGTTTAACGCCGCAGTCAGCAACACTGCAGTTTGCAGTTATATGACTGAGGTCATTTTCCAATCGATGCCTCGAAACGTGGTCTAGTGGTACAGCGTCCGCACGAAAGACGTTAAAAATAGTACAGTAAAGTACGGTTATAACGAACACGCTTATAACGAACTGACGGATATAAAGAACTTACTTTTTTGTCCCTACTATTTGCTGTAGTTATGCTGTTTATATGCTTATAACGAACTACAGTTATAACGAACTAAAATTAGCAGTCCCTTTAAGTTCATTATAACCGTAGTTTACTGTACTTGTTGTGACCTGTCTGGCGCTCGTCAGTAAGTGCTGAAGTCAGAGTGGGGTATTCATGTTAAACTGCGGCAAGGTACATTGTATCTCAGTGGATGGGGGAGCGCTATAAATCGACATTAGTCCGGACTAGTACAAGCAAACACTGAATCAATTCTTCAGTCATCAATCTCATGTTTGTTTAATGTTTAACGCCGAACTCAGCAATATTCAGCTATATGATGGCGGTTTGTGTTTAATCGAGTCTGGACCAGACCATCCAGTGATTGACATCATGAGCACCGAGCCACGCTATTGGGATACGATGACATGCATCAACCAAGTCAGCGAATCTGATCACCTGATCCCGTTAGTCGCCCCTTACGACAAGCATCGTCGACTCTTACGACAAGAATGGATTGCTGAAGACCTATTCTACCCCGCATCTTCACGGGTCTTACATGTCAGGAAAAGGTTTACCTCTTACCTCTGCGTCAGACCCGTGAAGATCCGGGGTAGAATAGGTCTTCAGCAATCCATTCTTGTCGTAAGAGGCGACTATGCTTGTCGTAAGGGGCGACTAACGGGATCGGGTGGTCAGGCTCACTGACTTGGTTGATGCATGTCATCAATTCCAATTGTATGGATCGATGCATATGATATTAATCACTGGATTGTCTGGTCCAGACTTGATTATTTACAGACCGCCGTCATAAAGCTGGAATATTGCTGAGTGCGGCGTTAACCAACAAACAACAAACCAACCTCTGCGTCAATATATTATCAATTCTACCAACTAGCATAGTATGTCCCGGTTTGAGTCCAAATAGAGAGAGAATGGCAGTATGGGCATATCAGTTAAGATATAAGATTGAAGAATGATTGAAAGATTGAAGAAGCGACACACACTTATAAATGCCTTAGTGATGTCATTGAGATGTCAGTTTATCTAGAGTAAGATCCAAACGCTGCCTATGTGATTGTATCACACATGGTTGAATAATATATTTGCATGACGTAAGTGATATTGATTAGAGTTTGAGTGGTTAAAGTAGTTTCTGGGTGACTATACATTTCACATGTGCACACTTCACCAAACGATCACTACTGGCGTTCAAGAAGACCGAGCGGTAGCAAATGGCTGACACGCCCTTACAACAACCCAGAAATAATGCTAAGAACTGTAAAACCAAACTGACACAAGGCATTAAGAATATCTGGAGGATATCATACAGGTGTCCATGTCATTCTATGACTACGATTGACTAGTATAAGGGTAACGCTATTTTTCAGGGCATCATCATTTGCAGAAGCCCGAGGTCTTCCATTAACTGCCCGACGTATGGCAAAATAGCGGTACCGTTATTATAGCTAAAATGGATGGAATTTGTTATCAAATAAAAAGAAACAACAATATTGTTTTTTGAAACATATACTGCAATCAACACGAATGTCACTGACCCACTTTTACAAATATGGAAACGTCATAGAACAAACCAGATGACGTCACTATTGAACGTGACGTCACCTATCCCTATTCTATGACGTCCCTAACAACGGGCGTGATAATGGCCCGTCGTCAAGTAATATGAGGGCTTTATCAAGGATAATGGATTATCTATGGATAGAATTATCATTAAACCGCCCGCATGTTATCAGAAATGAGCGGGCCACTGTAACTTGATAATGCCCTCATATTGCTTGACGACGGGCCAATACTCACGCCCGTTGTTGGGTTTAGCGCCGCTTTTAACAGTATTCCAGTTATATCACGGCGTGTCAGTTTAATGTGGGAGGAAAGCCCGAAGTGATGCAGGTCTCAGACGTTTACCACTTCGGTGAAACCCACGAGCACGGGTATGGTGCTGACAAACTTAGAAACATAATTTGGGCGAACCGGGATTCGAACCCACAATCATAGGTTTCTGGCGTGTCCAAGGGACGAAACTCTGCACAGCGAATCGCGGCGCTTTAGACGACTGGGCCACCCGTGCCCCCTGTTACTTCAGACACTGGGGAAGATTATGACATGTTGCTGATTGGTTATGCTATGACTTACATAATGTTCATGTGCTTACATTAACTTAATTAACAAATGATTTTCTGTTTGGAATAATATAATTTATTTACTTTGAACGCAACTCTTTTTAAATATTTTTTTAAAGCATGTTTATCAATGACGTTACATGCAATGTGTTATGGTGATTTGGGGAAATAGTGTCAATTAGACTT